CTTGAAGACGGACAAAGCACTCACTGTCCGAAACGTCAAGTAACCGATTCTTTTCAGAACCACAAACACTCAAAGAGATATTTTCCACATGGTGTATCCGCAAACCTGATCATATTCCACCATGCAAACCTTCAAGAGCTACTTAAACTAATTAAGAACTAGAATTATGATAAAAGGTTATCACTTCCGTTCATGGGCATGCCCTAAAATGTCATCAGTTACTGCTACGTAATCATGTAGATCCAAAGTGCCCCCCTCCCCCCAAAAACCAACTTGAAATTAGGTGGCAGGATGTGACAGCAATACAAACCGTGATGGGCTGTATCATGGTGACCCCCAAAATTGTCTTGCAATAAATTGAGAGTGGGGTGAACTGGGGTGAGATTTGTCAGGATTTTTCATCGGGATTTTCATGATTGAAGGGTTTTTGTTCTCTCTTAAAATATGGGAATCCATAGTTTACCATAAGGTGCTAAAAGTTGATTTATACATGAGCCACAGGTACTTTAAGAGTTGTCCTCTGACAAACACAAATGTGTACCATAGGTGAAAGGGCTTCAAAACCTTTGGTGATTGTTTCATAGATGATAAGGTGCTAAAAGTTGATTTTATTCATGAGCCACAGGTACTTTAAGAGTTGTCCTCTGGCAAACACAAATGTGTACCATAGGTGAAAGGGCTTCAAAACCTTTGGTGATTATTTCATAGATGATAAGGTGCTAAAAGTTGATTTATACATGAGCCACAGGTAATTTATAAGTTGCCCTCTGGCAAACACAAATGTGTACCATAGGTAAACGGGCTTCAAAACTCTTGGTGATTATTTCATAGATATTTCATTTTCCTGACTCACACCTCTTTTGGGGAATGGGGGGTGCCAATCCCCTCTGCTCCCTCCCCCCGAACCTCCTTCAATCCTGGTGATAAACTTTAACAGAACTACCAGCAGCAACTACCAGCAGTTTACAAGATGGTGAGAAAGTGATGCCATAGGCAGGATATCGCCCCCTGATGACCCGTCCAAGGTGCTTGCCATCAGGGCTGAAGTGATGGATTTCATCTCGTTTGTCATTTGTGTCTCCTGTAGAGGCTGCCACAAAGATGTATCCTTGTTTGTCGCAGCAAACGCCTGCTAGTTGACATTGTTGATTGGCCTGGCCGGGTATCTCGGCCGAAAATGCCACACTGCCATTGTGGTCAAGTGAGTGTACCTTTTTTGCCTCCCACGTGGTGTAGATGAGATGCTCCCTGTAGGCAGTCATGTAATCAGTAATACCTGGAGCTGGCAGGGTTTTGATGAGGGTACCATCCGGTTCATGCAGTGATATCTGCTCCGTTTTCTCATAACCCAGCGCTATGATGTCATTGTCACTCACAGTGAGACATGTCGGTGGGCAAGATGACCCCCAACTTGCTTCAAACTGACGGAGGAGGTGGTATTTCCTGTTGAAGGTTTTGACCAATGTTTCGTCCAGAAGGATGAGTTGATCATGTTTGTCTACAACAACTCTGCTTGGGTTTCTCACGCCTTTGATTCGAATTGCTTGAGGAAGGAAAGGGCCCTCAGACTTGCGCTTGCTAATAGGAAAGAATGTTTTCAATTGTTGGTTAATAGTGTGAGCTTCTAGCACAACAATTTCATCATTGGAGAATACTGCAACATCTGCAGGAGAGACAAATCCATATCTTTCTGTCTTCAAAACCCACATGTTAGGGAGATTCAACTGCTTGGGTCTCGTTGATGGGTCCTCCTCAGCTTGACATTCTAATTCCGGTTTGGATGTGGCATCCAGCACCAGTTTGCCAAGACTCAACTCTTCACCCTCTTCAAAATGAAAGGCAGAAGGTTTTTCCAAAGTGGGCGGTTTTCGACTTGTGAGTTCTTGGAGGTTTTGAAAGAGTTTCTCCTTGAGGTTAAGAATCTCGCAGGAGCTTGCTCGTGCCACAAGTCTGTTCACATCATCCAGCTTCTGTACTGTTTGGCTCCTCTCCTTGCTGCATGTAGCTTCAGCAGTTGTCAGCTTCTGAAGTTTCTCTTTGTAAACCTTCTCTACCTCTTCCTTCAGTTTGCCTTCCTCCTGTTTGATCCTGGTCATCTCCTTGCTCACCTTCTTAGAGATTTTCTCCATGGTATCGAAAAACAAGTTGTCCAATGTTTCACGTGTCTCTGCCACTTCCTTTGCAGCCGTGCTCCACTCTGTCTGGACTTTTTGAATGTTTACTGTCAGCTCAGCAATGTCCTGTTTGCATTTGGAACATGCTTCGGGCAAGTCAGTAAGGGAATGTTTTGCATGATGGAGGGCGTAGCATGTAGTGCACACTACTGTCTCACATGTGTTACAGTACATGCTGACTATCTGATCTGGATGCCTCGTACATTTGGGAGTTTCTCGTAATTTGCTCTTATAGGCATTCTTACCTGAGCTGAGCTCAACTAGTGAATGGATTTTATGGGATTTCAACATGGCCAGACGTCCATGTGCCGTTTGACATTCTTGACATAGGAACCTGTCACAGTCCGTACATCTTGAGATAGCTGGATTCTCTTCCTCACAGGCTTGACATTTGATCTCCGAACCCAACTGAACCCCAGACAGTTGTTCCTGTATTGTGAATTCTTCAACCAGAGCTCCTAGTGCAAAGTTATTAGGCAAGGCAGCAACATCATTTCCTTTCAGCCGGGTGTCATGTCTGCAGAGAGGACACGTTAGCTTGGTAGAACCTGATCCTTGGCTGAGCTGCTGGAGGCATTTCAGGCAGAAACTGTGTAAGCAGTCCAGCACTTTAGGCTCCTTGAAACGACAGGAGCAGATGGAACATTCCAGATGATCCTGGCTGATCTTGCTCAGGACTGATTGAACTGTGACATTGGATGCCATATCTGTAGAAGTGTTTGCAATAAAATCTCACTGAAGATAAAAGTAAAGTTTCATGCAGTGTGCATCAGTCTGAATACAACTCAACCATTCATCAGAGATCACATTTTCTGTTCAGTTGACTCATATTTTGGAAATGTGATACAGGTTCCTTGAAATGTTTGCAGTGAAGTTTGTCCTGGTTAAAATATGTTCTCAGTTGAAACGCTTACTGCTATTACAAATTCTTAGCTTGTTCCCATTACCTTTGTTTGTCTTGCCAAAAGGAGGAGTGGCTAATGTGAAATCTGTGCTTTTAGCTTGACAAAGAACTGAAATAATGAAAGATTGCGTTATTACCATTGGCATGCTTTGGGGGATTTTGGTTTATAATTTTGAACTAAATTTTAGAAAACCGCTTTACTCAGTTTTGTAGCTATCCTTTGAATTCACAGTTTAGAAGATGGAAGCATTGGTTGAATGCTCTTAGGTGGCAAACTACATGTACAGTAACTATGTCCAGCACTTGAATACCAAATGAATACCGTTAGTGGTTGTCTGAAAGTCAACTTACCACATAAGCGTATACTCTCTGAAGGTTCCTGTGTACATGTATGACTCATTCCTGACTGCGTTGTTGACAGGACATTGTATGCTGTATGCTGTTGCAACGACAGGATGTACACGTTGAATATAGTAGTACCATATGTTCGTATGTTTCTGATGTTATTCATTCGTGGCAGGAATTTTTTTTTTTTTTTTAGTTTTCCACACCTGCAAATCACAGGTGGAAGTTTGCTATAAAATCAGAGATAGTTGGCACTTTGCCCTCTACAGCTCTTGGACACAAGGCCCATAGGGACTCCAATAGGCATGATGTTTCCTCTCCTCTCCCCTTAGTGCCCTGTATTGAGCTGTTCAAGGTTTCAAGTTCATTCACAAATTTGTGTTGTCCCCAATGCTAGTGCAGAATGGACGTGCCCTGACATGTGATACACCAACACCGTGTTGAAAGTGTTGTGTAGGGCAAAGGCATGGTTTGTGATATCCCTTTAAAGTAGGCCTGTTCTTCAGCACACTTATTTTATTGTATTCCTTCTGTTTCCAAATTTCCGTTGGTGAGGGATAAAGCTTTTTCTCCGCATTAGTTCCTAGTGCAGAAAATTGTATTCCCAGTTCCAAAAAATGTGTTATTTCACTGAGTTTTCTTTTCTACATGACAATGTAGATAAGCAATAGAAATAACAATCTAATTTCCACACTAGGTTTGTAGCGTTAAGTGTGGCTTGGTGTGTGTTTGTAACTGTTTGTCACCCATTGCGTGTGGCTGTAGTTCAGTGGCTTAATGCCCAGTTATTACAGGTTTACAGGAGGGTCAAACTTCTGCATTCCCCTCCCCATGTTTTAGCTGACAATTTGTCAAGAGCTGTCGATCCAGTCCATCAGTCATATTATTTTAGGATCTGTGCTCAAAGTTAAGCGGAGGAAACAATTTCATTTTTGACATTCTGTGATTGATTAACACAGTAGAAATGTTGATCGATTGTCCACTTTTTCATGCAGTAGCAACCTGGAAAATCAGGCTGGCTAGAGAATGAGCAAAGAACTAAGGTGAAACAAAATATGGAAACCAACAGAAATGTTGCAGGATTTTTAACAATAAAGATGCAGAGAACATAATTTACTCTTGAAATCCTAATTTATTTTTTTTTTACCAAACTACATGGATCAGAATAAAAAACTGTAGAATTGTCAATCAAGTGTTACAAATAATGATTAAATGGTAACCCTTTCAACCACAAAGCAGAATAGTCTGCAAAATAATTGTGTGGTAGTTGATTAAACCAGAAACCAAACCAATTAGCAGGGACCTAGAAAATATACCAATTTCAAGAAAAGGAACTTAGAAAATACCTTTGAAGAGCCAAGGTAGAAAAACACTTGAAAAAAGGAACAGATTATGCAAACCAAATTTTCAAAAGAAATAAATCACTGCAAAAGCTCTCTTCTTGAATAATCCTATGCTTAGACTGACATCAAATTAAACTTTTGTTTGAAATTACATTTGCCTGAAGCAAAACTTGCGAAAGAAAGCTTGTACAACCAGTTATCACTGTGTTCAGAAATGGTACAAAATAGTTGGGGGAAAAACAGGCGGAAAAAAAGTTGAATAAATTGGTCAGCTTTCACCAGAAAAACAGGAACTTTAGAATTTAATTCACGAGGCATTCTTACCTGAGCTAAGCTCAACCAGTGAATGGATTCTATGGGATTTCACACGTCCATGTGCCATTTGACATTCTTGACATAGAAAACTGTCCCAGCTGATATTTCTTGAGATAGCTGGATTCTCTTCATCACAAGCTCGACATTTGATCTCTGACCCCAGCTGAACTTCAACAAGTTGTTGTTGCATTGTAAATTCCTCCACTAGGGCCCTTAGTGTGAAGTTACTGGGCAGTGCAGCAACATTTCCTTTCAGCTGGGTGTCATGTCTGCAGAGAGGACAGGTTAGCTTGGTACTATCTGGGTCATGATGGTGTCTGAGCTCCTGGAGGTATTTCAAGCAGAAATTGTGTAAGCAGTCCAGCACTTTAGGCTCCTTGAAACGACAGGAGCAGATGGAACATTCCAGATGATCCTGGCTGATCTTGCCCAAGACAGACTAGACTGTGACATTGGATGCCATATCTATGGAAAGAAGTTGATGTAATGAAACTGCGCTGTCTGAACGTTCATTGATTGATCGACTGGCCTACTGAAGTCATTTTCATTAATTTTCTTTTACCAAGTTACCAGATGGCAGTCAGCTCACATCTACCTTAACAGCAAGGTCATATTTCCATACATAATGCTAAGTAAATGGGAGAATTCATTTCCTAAAATTCCGTCTATGAAAAAGAGACTTATTGTCACACTATGTTACTTCTTTTTCGATATCAAGACGGTGTTCAAAGTCTAAAGAAATCCGGTATGCACATCATGAGCCTAACTTCTCTTATTGTATGTGTTGCTGTTGGCAATGTGAACATGGCGAGAGTAGTCACACCTGTTTCTGTGTTTAGGTACATGCAGAGTATATGTACATGGCTTGTGCTATATTGAAAAACTTGCAGGTGTAGCATTATAATGTGTGCCCTATCTCCTGCAGAGGGTCAGTTCCAGGTGATCCATGTCACTGAACATTAATGGGGCTGGATCACAAAAGTTTCAGCATTGAACAAGCTTTTGCGAGTTAACTTTGACCCAAATCTGGTACACTGAGTTCACATGAACATGACTACTTGAATTCGCCTTACTACAACCACTGTTACTATACCTCGTGATTCGGGGAAGCTTTTGCTTAGTTACATAAGCAACGCCTTGCAACAATACACTGTTCTCAATGGATAAGGAGGGCATAAAGGAACCAGTCCATTCCAGAGATGGTGGTTGCTATGCGAAAGCTTGCCCCGAATCACAAGGTATAGCAACAGTGTCTTTAGTCTGGGAATTTAAATAGCCTTGTTTATGTGCAGTCACATGACTAAGTGCACCAGATTTTATTCAATTTTATTCACAAATGGCTTATTCTTGAACTGACGGACAGAAGAAAGGCAAATACATGTAATAATGCATGTGGTTAAAAGGGTTTGTGAAATGGAAGGATGACATGTGTTCAAAAGTCGGCATATGAAATGATTATTGATTGGGGAAAAATGTCAATAATTCTGTCTGCATTTGTTGGAAGTGAATTTTCTCCTCACTTGTCGTGTTGTAGTTCCTGGGTGTGAAACATCTGGACTCAGTTGAATAAGCTTGTTTAAAGAGTGGTGAAAATGATTGTGTCAACAGTATTGATTGTGTTATGCACAGTGGTTTAGTCAGTCGGGAGGGGGCATGTTACCCCAGGGGAAGTCCATACCATCCTCCTCCCCTGCAGACCCCCACCCCCTTCACACACCCAGGGCCATAGCAACCAGGGGGATGTGGGGGGTGTGAACCCCCCATAATTAATTACAGTCAGCAAGTAAAGCTGCGATCAGCAAATGAATCTAAAAATTAATACGTAAATGATATACATGGGCCATCCTCTGAAGCATGAATTGTGGCCTGTCACAGATCACATTGCGAATTTTCCACGACACAAAGGCCTGTGAACAAGTTACAAGTCAGCAAATTGACTTTGGCACACCCCCCACCAAGAAAATGCCTTTGCTCTGCCACTCATCACACCCTTCCCCTTTGAAATCTTTTGAATGCACACAACCAGTGTGCAAGCTACAATTAATCATCTTTCAGTGCCTCCTTGAGAACATGTGTCCCCCCCCATGCTCCCTCAGAAATCTCACCAAAGTTACACCACTAGTTGTGTACTATTTTACCCCCAACCAAGTCCCAGACAACAATGAGCCATATTCTTTCATTCTGCAGCCCTCTCGGCCTTCAGTTTGCCAGTCTCCATACCTTTCTTCAAATTTGTCTTTTCCCCTTCTTTCATTTTTCTTTGACTGTTTGAAATATTTTCCTGAGTTGTTTTGAACTTCAAAGTAAAGCATTCTGTCTATGCTTGGTAAAAATTTCCTATTGCCTGAAATGATATCGCTGACAAGCCTGTCACAAGAGGGCTCACTATTCTTAGATCAGTAAGTAGGCTTTTGTTGGCGTGAGCGTCACATTTTTCTGTACACCCATCTCATATCATAAGCAGAAAGAATTTCATTTCCTGTTACATGTTCATTGAAAAAAGTTGGTTTGGTAAATCTGCCCCCTCCATTTTGGGTCTCAAAAAGTAGCAAAGGATGCTTGATTTTTGTGTGTTCATGCTCACCAGATGGTGACAGGTAAAAATAGTACACAGTCATGTACTGTAAATGTTAGTAATATGCACGGGCACTGCGCAAGTACATAGAAAGAGAGAGAAGATAAATTTATAAAGGATAGATCATAAATGAAAAATGAATCCTCTGTGGGTAGTTTCAACAACTCCTACAAAAAACGCATTGTCTCTAATTATCTGAGATAGCTCCTTCTCCTCTATTATTCTGCTACGATTCTCTTGTTCCTCTAAAATGCATCAGCGGGGCTTATTTGCAGCTCTCAGTACATTTCAGTATTTGCAGGTATTTTTTCTTTTACTTTGTGTTCATTGTCTTGCTTTTGTCTTTACTCTGGATGAATGTTGTTAGTTTTGTTTGGCTAGTTTTGTCTTACTAAGGCATTTCTGTCGAAGACTTTGTCTTCTGAGTACGTTTCTGTATTGTCCCTTTTCTTCACCTTGGTGTCTTACTTATAATTAATCTTGTATTTGTCAAACCTTTTGTTTATGAATCTGTATAATTCAGCAAATACACTTGGCAACATGGAACTAAAATAAATGCCAAAACAAGGTAAACAGAAATTTGGCACTGGATGGAATGGTTCCATTAATTGGGTGTCTTTCACTGATTTTCAATAAAAGAAACTTTGATATTTTTGCGGAATTTTGGCTTCGTCTGCGCCATACTGGTCCTAATCCCTCACAGAGAATGCTTCATATAATCGAGCATAGGTTGTGCGTGAGTTAACTGGTAATGATCATTAATTGGCCGAGTGTATTTTTTGCATTATCCTACAAGGCTTCAGCATACATCACAAATTACATTTTATACTGATAAAATTTCCTCAAGGCAGAGGACAGAACTGTGTGATATATGATCTCATCAAATCAGCAGACAGCTTGTCAGAGATCACATGGTATTCCAGTCACTTGCAACTTGAAGTCTTGTGAAATATTTCTGATGCAAATGTACAGGGGTCTCTGCTAATTTATTATGTTGTTTAAACATTCCACAAATCCCTGGGTTTAAGGACTGGTTATGGACACAATTTCTGTGGAATGTTTACTCTACATGTATGTCAACATGTCGTTCAATTTCATTAATGCATGAAGAGCAGTGGTGGGCATCTGTTTCAAGATGGAGTTTTTTCACTGGTCATCCAACATAAAATGGGGGGTGTCGTCGACTTTTTTCGTAGTCATGTTGTTCCAAGTAAATGGTTTCGGACAACATCTGGGGCTTTTCTTGATTTCTGAGTGAGACAGAAGTTTGTGTATGGTGCCCATGAAGAGAAGGGCAAAACGGGTGCTGGTAACCTACATGTAATAGTGGGGAAAATACATTCCACCCCACCCCTGTGCTGTACCTCTGGAACTGAGGCATTGAAGTTGCCTCAGAACAGACCAGGACGGTGTGCGACTTGATCAAGCACTGGTCAGAGAGAGAGCAGCCCCTGTCAAAACTGCTAAATATGCACCGGCAAGTTGAGCCACTCGCGGTTGACCAAGTGTGGAAATCATGCGCGGATCAATATTTGGAGAAGGCCATTCATGTTGATTGTGTTACGCTGGTGTGTAAAGACTGTCGCATTTCTGGAGGTTTTGGCCGGTGAAGCTGCCAGCACTTAACCTTTTTCCCTAAACTGTGACAGAAATTGACACTGCTTAAAGAGGAGAGGAGAGGTTGGATTAGATAAGAACTACAGTTTGAAGCTGTGAAGGAGTTGACTGCAGGCATAAAGGTTTTATAGGGAAAAGGGAGAATGTTTGAACAAAGACACTTCATATTGCCATGAGCAAAGACAAAATAATGCGCTTCAATAACGTGAACTAATTGTGTGCCTGGGCAAATTCATCGATAGTTGCATACTTATTAAGTGTCTACAAAGCCACATTTCACCAGCTAGTTTATATGTGAGCAAGCAAATCCACCTGGGAACCTGTTAAAAGCAATATCTACATCTTGTGGCATTTTCCCTGGTAATGTGTTTGTGTTAAGCAAATATCATCTCTCATATGGTACAAATTTCTAAGAAGCCAAGTTCATCAATTTGTTATCGGTAACACTTTTAATTTCCATTACTTTAATTACAGGTTGTGAGAGCTTGCAAAAACTCACGAGCTCACTCAGGTGGGACTCAAACCTACCATCTCCTGCTTACTAGTGCAGATGTAAGCACTAATAAGCAGGACTTTTTGCTCTCACATAATGCAGGTCTTTTTTAATGAACATTTTTAATAAACATCCTTGGTGTATTGTGTCACCATTGCCCAAAGGCAACAGTTGATGATCCCAGCTACCTCAAAATAAAGTCTGGTTAAGAAAACTTCAGGCATCAACTGAATATTAGTGACCATTGCAAATTAAAGATATTGAGTTTTTTTGGTTCAATATACCAGTCTGTTACCAAGAATTTGTTTGACAGATAATCACTAAATTTGACCCTACTTTCTTTGGTCACTGAAGGTCCGGATCAATGCCGCCCTGGCACTGAGTATTCCTACATGTCGTCGTTGCTATGGCAACACTGACCGCTTCTGTCTAGTCTGGTCCAGCATTGTCCATGCTCTGGAGGTCATCGACCAAGTGGCTGATGTGTCTGAGCTCAAATACAAGGACACTTTACGAGATCAGGTACGACTGGAGTTTCTTGTTCATTGTTCCTAGGTTTGCTCCCAATTTAGACCCCCTCAACCCCTACGGCCCACAACCCCCTTGACCCCTTAACTTATGATTCAAGTTCTCAGCCTTCACATGCCCAGGCACAGATTTAAGTATGTGTAACTTTTTGTGTTTTCTCACTCCAAACCATGCTCGTGTAAAAAGTAATAATGTAGGGCAAGTATCCTGCAGTTTCATTTTGTCATCTTTAAATTTTTCCTCAGCACCCATGCATATCACTTCGTGTGTTTTAGAATTGGACTTCTGTTGTCACCATTACTATTAGAAACACTCCCATCGTGGATGTCAATTGGTGGGGACATGTTCCCCCCCCCCACTTTTCCAAGTGGGGGGGATGCTTATATTTTTTCCCAAACCTAAATGAAAATGTATACCTTGCGAAAGCATTTGTTAAAAAAAACTGGCTAAAGTAGCCAGAATTGTCTCTGATCACACCACAGAGAATCATATATGCTAAAAAAATTTCCAGGGCCCTTGAGTGGGCCCCAGACCCCATGCCACTCATGGCTTCGCGCTTGCATTTGTTCTCATAGGGGTTATGTCCCTCCCACTTTTCAAAATGGATTGACGCCTTTGACTCCCATAATAAATCAGTCCACAGTATGGATGATTCACAATAGCGCGCCTCCAAGAGTTTACAATGCGTTGGCCAATCACAATGCACAAAATCTGTCAACCCAATGCATATTAGGAAATGGTCAACAGATTTCGCGTATTGTGATTGGCCAACGCATTGCAAACTCCTGGATGCAAACTGTCATAGTAGTTAAATACTCTCTATGGTGATTGGTTGAGTGTGAAGCTTTTAAGTAGAAATTTCTTTGTCAAACTTACGCAGAACTGTGGCAGATATTTTTTGGGGGAGGGGCAACAGACTCCCTGCCCCCTCCCAATTCAAGATCTTTCTGTCTTGAGAGGCAAAAGGGAATTGCCTGTTAGTTTAAAATCACACAAAATACCTCACAGCGAATCCCTTTCTCCCTTTTTAGCAAAGAAAAATACCTCGAATTCTGACTTTCTATTCTCCCTCAACCCCTCAAAACTGCTTGAGGATCTACCTTTGCTCTGAGTTATATTGTATCATCTATTAACTTAACATTTTTGTTGGTGGAGGCCTTAAGACCTATATGTCCAAATTTAACATTGCAGTGTTCTAAGACAATTTCTGACCTGAAGAGTATGCAAAGCAAAATGACATACAATTACCTGACATGATTTAGGTTGAACCTGAGTGTGCACTGCTCTATTGCATATATGTACCCTGGCAACCTGATTAATTCCTGATATATAGGCCATGCGGGTTGTCTGGTGCACTCCACAAAATGAAAACTCGCTCATGTACACACAGCTCCCACCCACGGTTCTGGTTTTAACCCTACGTTTACTTCTGCTGTGGGGAATAATTTATGATCCCCGTGTGCAGCGCTCTGCGCTCATCATTTGACTCCTGTTTTGATGAAGTACCCCCATCAGCTGGCCAACCACGTGTGGCGGCTTCATCCCAGCTTGTCCCCCCCTCCCCCCGCTCCCTTTCCTGTCTCCCAGCAGTTGTTACAACATCCGATATCCAAGTTGTCATGGGGGATCTTAATTCTGGGCTGCCGTTGCTTGGGCTGGCCAACGCTAAGTGTGGTCAGCTCTTGAGAGGTGGCAAATGACGCCCTTGCGCCAATACCGATGATATCTTCCCCCCTCCCCCCTTTGTAGGTTGGGGAAAGGTAGGGGGATGAGTTTATTTTCTCAGAGTGTAATTGAATTCTTGATGAGTATAGGTTGTTGAGAAGTGACGAGAGGGAAAGATGGAGTGGGGAAGGCATGTGATAAGTAGGATGTGTAGAGAGGAGTGCGGTAATGTGGATTTCAGGTTTTCAATCTTCGGTCTCTGATGGCGGGGGGGGTTGGTTGTCAGTCCAGGGTGAACTAACCACAGGTATCCACTCTTGGACTGTTGCCCTTGTGGAGTCTAGACGTGGCAGAATGTGACAGTGAAGACTTGAGAGGTGGACGGATGGGGAATGTTCAGGCAAATCTTGTGGCACTGCAGGAATCGTGCTGCCAATCCATCACAATTGATTTAGCAGAAGATCATGTTGAGAATGTATCAGCTATGGCCCCTTTCAATTTCCACTTGGTCTGCGGTATTCTGCACTGGTTTGAAAATGAGGTGGCCTCTGGGCTCAACTAACTTGCAGTGTGCGGGCAGTTGAGGGCGTCATTCATCATTGGCGAGGCAATGTCTGATCAAGCCAGTGAGGATGGATGCTGGAGACTGGTAATAAAGTGAATGCATTGAATGATGAAATTGGCAATTCTCACGACTAGATGAGGAGCACTGTATTTCTAGCCGGAAAAAATGGCTGTGCAATATCTGTATTTTCTGCTCTCTTGAATCAATGACACCACTCAGAAAATTGCGATATAATCAGCAAGCCACTAGAATTCTCATAATTTGCACATGTACATATATGTGTGCCACTGATTTTTTTTTTTGCAGTTCCCTTAGCTGTTGTTGTTAATAAACTGTAGATTTCGACATCCGCAATTTGTTTCAGCTTTGTCAAACACTTACTCACCTGGGGGGCCTCCTTAGCCAAGAAGACCTTTCACCTTTGCATAAGCTTTTGAAGGATGGGTCTGACTTGTTGGAGGTTCATATCAGCCGATACCGAGAGGCAAAACTGACTTCGGCCGAAGATAGAAGAGGTAAATTAGTACAAACTTCACATCATTTAGGACAACGGTTTCTCCCATTTTTTTCCATCAGATTTTGAGGATGGTTTTTATGTTGATGCCAAATCTTACAGAAACCCACAGAATAATTTCAATTCCGTTGAGAATCATGGTGGTCCTTGGTACCATTTGTTTCTTCATTGTGTTTCACATTTCACCCAACCATGGGGGAAAATTACAAAGAATACTTGGGTTTCTGAAAGGCGTTTTTTCCCAGAAATGTAAGAAATTATCTTGGTACCCTACAGAACACCATAACTTGCCTCCTTGTTTTCTACAGTATCATGCAGAATCTGTCCTTAAAAGCCTTAAAAGTATGTGTAATGTTTAAGACAGTAAAAGGAGCATAGCAGACAATGGGTCTATACAGTCTAGATAGTCTCCAAGTCTGTACACTTATTAGTGCAGGAATTGCACTAATAATTGACTGAGAAGTTTATTCAAACTTTGTAGAATGAAAGTCCTCTTCATTGGGCCACAGTCCAACCGTAACGGTGCCGTTCTGCGTTTAATGTACACCGCATTCCCCCTGTTTGTCATCAATCAAATTCAATTATAACAAATCGAATTCAGTTAAATTGAGAAATTACTGCATGCGTGTCCAATTATTCACGATCGTCCGACAGATCATTTGATGTTTATTTCATCGGAAGGATTCAATTCTTCTGGCGAAATTCCCCCCAAACCGCCAAGGATAAATAATCAGTTTGGCTTCAAGGTCTGACTTGGGCATTAAAGTTATGGATGCTGTTAATCACGGGATTGGAGAATCATTTGAGATAGGAATGCAGGAAAAAAGGTTTTCTGGAAACTTCTTTTTTCGTTTTACCTTCTGCTGACGCTTATCATACGCTTATGTAATTTAGTTCTCAAACTGTGAGATATCTTGATAAAAACAAGATGACTGGACTACAAAGTCATACATGTAATTCAAAGATGAAAAATTGATTTCCTGAAATGGGTTTTTAAAGTCAGATTTCACTGATATTGCATACAGGCAGTTTTGACCTTGCCAAAAGTAACGCAAATCCGAGAAGGTACCCAAACAATTCCCAAAGAATACAAACCCATGAGACAGTGGTGTTGAAATTCACTAAACTATTTTCAGAATCTGAAAGCATTTTTTTTACCAAAAAAAAACCACCCGTGTAGGAATGCAGTTTCATAACATATTTGAATTGATATACCCACAAATGTTTACAGCCACCCAAGGAAAAGAAATGTTAGTAAGACATGAATATAAACTGTAATCCCCGTTGGAGAATGTTCATTAAACTTCTGGCGGGCTGCGGCCAGGGGCATTTACATGTATGTACTCGTCAAACCACACAAATAAACACAGTGACACGTGCATGATACAAACACAGACAGGTCTCATCTGGGACCCGTGGTCTGAAAAACAATTAGAGGGAAAGGAAAAAAATTGCATTATCCATGAAGTTCCAAACACTGCGGCCCTCGTTTGTAATTACGAACGAGAGGAGGAGGTGAAAATGGCACATCAAACATCGCTTGCGAGCTGGATATTTCGCGCAGGGAATTCGAGCGTAACAAGTGCTGTGCTTGTTGAAAAATTTAATCAGTCAGGCTGCATGAAATTGATTTAGAACTCTCTGTCGGGACATATTCGGGCCAAAGCATCGGGTAATGCTTGTGTGTTGGGGAAAGACTGTGTTTTAGTGAGAAGGTATAATTAGGAGCTTTCTGGAAGAGAGAGAAAAATAATTTGGGCCATTAGAGGAAGTGACGTACTTAATGTTGATGTTATTGACAGTCAAGAGAAAAAATAGAAAAACCGTTTCAAATTTAAAAAAAAACAAAATGTAAGAATTTATCGAAATGTGAAACCGCCCATCAATAAATCACAAAGAAAAAATCTTGGGTTTTGCAAACGGTATCCGGCGCCTGAAGCAGAAGCACGCCCTCATCGGTTGATAAGAGTCACATAGGTGGGGAGTGTACATTTTGCTGGTAGCTACGCGACCGCGATGTGTGCAAGTCATAGTCGTGTGTGAACCCGCGAAGTTAAGTTCCTACTCAAGGGCTGAGTTCGGGCGGCTTTTTCTCGTATGTTCACTAACAGCGTGATTCGTTGTTCTTGGGTCAAACGCTGGGAACATACAACTGGTTATCGCTGGTAGTAACTATAGGCCTATCGCCAAAAGACACGTGATCAGTGATACTTAGTAGGAAGAGGAATTACCACTTTGTGATTGTACCAAAACCATGTTTTTTATCATATAGCCGACACTTTGCCAGTGCCAAAGCATTGCCATTGGCGAATCAAACAATTTAAACAACGCTTCTCTACCAGGAAGTAATTGCCTTGCGGTCACAGGTTGTGCATGATGTAGCCAATCACAGTGCAAAGCCCTTCCCAGGGTCCTGTTCGGCGCTGGGCGACGAGCGAAACTCCAGGAGTCTCCGTTGCTAGGAAAATTGCGCGTTTTCTTGGTCCCGCTCGGGGCTCACATGAGTCTGAGTTGAGCGATGTAGGCGTTCGAAACTTGAGAGGAATCTAGAAATTCTATTTCTAGTAATATTGCATACCTTGTTGTCTCTGTGAAAAGACAGTTGGCATCGCTGAATCTTCAAATTTCTTCTTGGGAAAATATTTCTCTTAGTGATTATCTGTGGCCCACGGTATTGCGTGTCTTGCTGTGACCCACATGAAGGAAGAAATAAAATACAAAAGCAGCGTCTCTCGTTAAACAAAACTTACGCATTGTCTTTTGAACCTGCAGGCGAAATGCTATCGGCAACCTCTATTTATCTTCAAGACATGATGAACGTCAAGGACGTCACGGCTGAAGACCGACACTGCGCAGCCCAGCTTGTCAAGATATTTGCCGAGCCTTGAAGGCAACTCATCATCATCAAGAATCGTCTTTGGAATTGGAATTGCCAAATAATCCGTGTGTTGTCGGGGAGACTTGCTAAATCAGTCTTCAGATAACTTTATCAGAACTGTCTTTGTAAATTTCAGAGCTGTGTTCCTTATGTGAGGCACAGTGCCGATTACCAGACTCATTTGTTTATTAACTCTTGATGTCAGTGAAAAACCAGCAACACTCTGTGAACATCATTAGCTAACATTTTGATGAGAAGACTTACATTTCTCAGCAATTCTGTTCAGCCCGTGCTTCTGTTATTACTTGAAATCACACGAGTTACACATTATCCTGTGTGGTAAATTTTCAGATTAGATTAAAATAATGCAGACGGGTATCACGTCATATTGTAAAAATCATGGGACAGCGCCATAAAACGGTGGATTGTTCTTGTCATTACACTGTATATTCCCATGACATCCCAAGATTTCTTTATCCCATCCCAAGATTTCTTGAAAGCTTAAGAAAAAGGCATGGGTGCAGGACTTCAGCTAGCAGTTCAAATGTAACTAATAAGCCTACTCCCGAGTGTGTCGTTATTTCAATTTCGCCTTGCCTTTATAATTTGCTCGAAGAAGGATTCACAAGAACTGGTTTTTTTTAGTTACGGAGGCACAGATGTGCTGCACTTTGACAAAGGCTTTGAGCGAACGCAAATATTGAGAAATTCTTTTTTTTTACACGTCAAGGAACTTTCGTAGCACAGTTTTCCCGAATTGAAAATGTGGTTTACTACCACAAATCGCCAGCAGGAATGCTCCCGGTGACGTCACAGATTGGCGATCGCTCTCATGGCGAGGACAAAAATCGGCCAGTAGCAGTGCGGGAAAAGTCCAGCCGTCCCTAAAGACCTGGCCAGCAAGGCTCACTCTGATTCATACAACGCGGCGTGACTGGGCTTTTTCCTCCCCACTTCTTGCAAATTCGATATTTCATTGATTCTTGTCGCAGGGGAAAAATGGAATGGGAGCAACGAAAGTGTAGACTGTAAGTGTTTACAAGGAGTCTTGTTTGGCGTGTGGGAGATAGGAAATGTACTCCACTTAAGTGGTAGGGAGCGTTAGGCAAAACGATCCCTTGAGGTTTGGTTTAGGGCACCGCTTAATATGGGACAAAAGTACAGTGCCCAGAGGCGGTTAATAGTAATGTGGTCTAAGCACTACAGAAATGTTATTACCAAGTAGACGTTCTCTGTTGCCTTTTGGTCAGGTTAATTGTTTAGTTTTATGGCATGGTACGAAGAATCGAATGCACTTTTATAATGTCAAGTAATGGAGTTTGTTTACACTGTTGTATGGGTGGAGCTATGTTGTTTTCAAGATTATGTGGTATCTGCTATGATCATGGGTTTATTTTTGAATTTCGTTTCAGCCCTTGTCTATTGTAGATTGGTATTTTGCATGAAATTTAGCAGGTTGATTGAATCCACTTTCTGTGTCGATTAAGAAAGTAAAGGTTGTTTTGAGCCTAAAGTTTTCCTTGAGAAATATATAAATGTGTTTGAAAGAAATTGTAAATTTTTGGCTTTTACTGGTTTAAACAAAAGGAAAACAGCAGAACAAAGTTGTATTAGATATTGAAGCTGTCTTAATTGGCGCGAGAGTTTTCTTTTTAGGGTAAACCCAGGAATACATCTTAAAATATAAAATGTTCCCTTCCCTCCCTCAGTGCCACCGCACTCCCCTCCCACATCCGGTCGCAGTGTTGAATGCCCAGAAGGGTGATGAATGGCTTTATGAAATAAGTTACTGGACAATGTTCTCTACACAAAGTCTCTGTACATATATCCTTGTACAACTTTGCTCACACGGCTACCGTTACTCGCTGTGCACAAACTGCAGCCGATTGACGATTGAGAAAAAAGTGGGCAATGGCGGATGCAGTCTCCCTGCCACACGAAGCAGGGGATGTCGCCCTCGGGCCTCCTGGGGGCAATGGCACGAGACTACCGCCGAGTCACGGCAATTCGAGCGAGTATCAGTAATTCTTTTGGCCGGGAGATTAAAAAAATATGAAAATAAAAAAGAGAAAGCACGGACTCCACCCTCCATAATTTTGTCAGTGCAATACAAAATGACCTTCTTTTGAATTTGCTGCGAGGTAAGCATTGATGCTTTCGATTATTTGTAGATCAATTGGAGCATGGTAAGAATTACCACGAGTGTTATGGTGAACGGTTAGGTGCATGACTTTAATGAACTATGGAGGATGTTTTATTCTTCCATGAATCAACTAAAAGCATCTGTGTAAACATTCGCCCATCATGAGCACGTTTGATGGAGAACCTTGGAACGCGCAGTCTTGTCGATGAGGGTTGGACCTGTACGGTTGAATTGCGATGCTAAGAGTGGAGAGGTTCCCTTGCTGGCTATCTGTTGCCGTGCTTTGCAAGGAGTCACATCTTATCGTGACATCTTATGTGGGGAGGAGACAGCTGGCACTTTACAGATGTATGACGGGGGCGTAAAGAGTTCGCAACGAAGAGTGGACCAAAAGTTCGCAACGAAGAGTTGACAATAAGTCAGCACTGCTCCATCCAAGAATGTGGGAATTCAAAATATAGGTAGTCAATCACCTAGTCCGGTTTAGAAATAAAAAGAAAGGAGGTGAGAAAGCAAACAATCCAAGTCATTGGCAGCTCCCTGTGCGTATCGCTTTCTCCAGTGTAAGCCTTCTTTCCCCGGATCTCCATGCTGGCATTTTTAGTCGATATTGTGTCCCACGGTAATATACAGTTACTAAGTCCGTCCAATCACCTCGGTATATAGCAAACAGGAATGTCCCGTGTGTGGGCGTAGAAAAAAATCCATTCCCGTCAAGATGAAACTAAAGAAGGGTATGCGTTAAATGATACACAGGGTCGGATCAGAGGAAGAAAAATCCCCCCTTTTTTACCCCTATCAGAAAAATCTGAACTATTAAGGCAGTTCCTACAGACCTGATCCAATTAAAGCTTGATTGTTTGGATTTAATAAAAGCGGCGTCAGGCATGCGTGTTTGGAGTTTTTGATGAAGTCCAGGTTATTGGAGACAGGATTCTTGCAACAGACGTGGATCAACAGAATGAGGTTTTCGGGTCTTTTGAAAGCCGAATCGTATCAGAAATGTCACTGCCGACGAAGTTCTCGTTCGTTGTTTCTTCAGACAATGTCCAGTGGGTGTAGTGATCAGGGTTAATGATGACAACTCGAGGGGTAAGGACCATGCGCTCTGCCCATAGTCATGGTCCTGGCCTAACGATCGTGGCAACTGTCAATAAATTGTGGGACAAAGAGCCCGTCTAACTCTCCAAAATAGAACACGATTCAAGTCTTGTTTGGGAGCATTTTGAAGGTGCATCGACAAAATGATACATAAAAATTACTCGAGAAATTTTCATGAAATTTATTTTTGATAACGTGGTCTTCGAGATACAATGTGTCAAAAACTAAAAAAAGGTCTGAAAACACGTCGAAAACTAAAGATTCTCATTCAGTATAATCTTCCGAAAGTATACCCTACCATTGAGGTAGGCTTTAGCTTTAGGTGCAACACATTATGCGACCTGTCACAAAAAGATAATGTAAAGTTGCACTCCTCTCTTTCCTATTGTGACGGTTCAAAAGTCCACCATTGATGAGGGGAGGTCAGTTTTAGGTTTTGTAATATTTCCATTTCTAAATGTTAACAGGATCACATATTTAATTGAAAATGCCAATTTCTTACCAATTCTGACGACAGTAGTATTCTTACCTGGTCAGAATGTTGAAACATTGGAACGCTACTTTTACCATAATGTGTTCTGTACCGTTGGAAAGCACTTTTTCATCTGAATTCCAAAATATTAATAGGCCCATCTCATTTTCAAAAAATTTCCCACTTTCTGCTTATTTTGTGGTGACAAGTCACACATTGTTGTGCCCCATCACAGTTTCAAGAGAAGCATATTTTTATTCAGGTGTCTGATGTATGGACCTGAGCAGTAAGGTGCAGATTGTGGGAAGGGGTAATGACTCTCTAGAGGGCGCTCTCGAATGAAATCACTGTTCATTGTTAATGGTGTCATGATCGATTTTTGTTAATTTTGTGCGTTGTTGAAATACATGTGCAGGACATTTCATAAATATTTATGCGCTTACACTGTCTCCTCGACCCTGGGGTACCGTACCCCAGAGACTGTCACTGTCACGTTTAAACGCGCCAGATCCCCTCCCCGGGGCACAAGTATCTGCTACACAGGCCAATAGAAAGTGAAAAGTAGGACGAGTTTTATCTTACCGCAAGTCTCTTTAAAAAATCAACAAAACCTGATCTTTAATGCATGGCAGTTGTGTGGTGAGCAAAACAATTTACCGAGGAAAGCACAAGCATTTGCAAAACAAAATAGCCAAATTGGAAAACGACCAAACCTAAAACCATGATTTTGTTTGAGATGATACATTTTATTAAAAAATATTTTTAAAACTCTCAGAGGGAATAAAAACCATAGGGTTTTGTGGCGGTCCGTCCTTTAAGCTGGAATTGTCCCACTCCATAAGATGTTAATAAAAATTAACCTATTCAAAAGAATTGGGTCTCGCCTTGTTGGCCAGGCTGTGAGTCGTCTCCCATTCTCGGATGCGGTCCAGCTACCGCTCCACACGGGGGCTTTTGCCTGCTGCGTCGCCGCCCTGGGCCGTTGCGCCCCTCCTTAGTCAACCTGGTCAAAGTCCCAACCTCCGTCGGGCCTACCATGTCGATGCCGAGCTTGGCACGGACACCCGATCGTCACAGCAGAACGAATCTCGCAGGGATCCCAGCCTCATGCGATCCACCAACCCCGGCCTCCTAAGGTCACTGGATTACAGGCGCACGCCACAACGCCCGGCCGATGAAAGACACGTTTCTTTCCCATCTTATGCCTAGGAAAATGTAATTCTCTAAAACCACTCCCATCCTAGTGCATAAAAAAAGAAAGTACACCGTCGTGGACAGGATTCGAACCTGCGCGGGGAACCCCCATTGGATTTCGAGTCCAACGCCTTAACCACTCGGCCACCACGACCTGCTGCGCTTCATTTGCGGATGTTCTTGTCCTTAGCAGTCAGTGAGGGATAAGGATTAATTTGGGCACACCTGGAACAGGTGTCCACCCGCACTGTTTGTGTTTTCTGTCGATGTTCATAATAGATTGTTTCTAGTTTAACCTGCAGATAGCAGTTATGATTTTATCTGACAATGCAAGGAGATGGAAGAAGAGCGAGCTTCATATTTTCGTGTTGTAATGTCTTGTTGGAAGCTGGGGAGAAGTTTCCGTGGAACCGGTAGCCATAAGGCCATGTCTCAGAATCAACCGGTTCAGCCAGGAGTATAACGTACTCAAGTCATGTAGACCTTTTGCCGGTGATGTCACGATCGTACTGGACTGCGATGTGTTGTGATGGTAATGAGTGCAGCGTGTTGTGATGGTAATGTGATGCATCTTGTTGTGATGGTAATCTACTTATTCAAAATAAACTAGACAAGTATGCAGCGTTCGCACGTGCGCTTGCACGTCGTTGAAGCTGCCCGTAGGAATATATGCAATCACCGTGGCTAAAGGCGATCTTCACGTGGTGGTATTGTTTACATTTAGTCACGTGGGTGAAAAAGGTCTATAGGAAGTGGTTGCCGGCAGCTCAGCAGCTTCTATCGTTGTACGTGTTACGTCTAGCCACAGCCTCGTTGTTGGAAGCATTCTTTCAATCGGATATTGGGTCCGTTTGGTTAGCTTCGATTTCTCTCTCTGTACACGGGATTATTCCACTCGTGGAAGCCACTAAGGAGAGTAACTTTCACATCTTATGTACATTGTAAGGTATTTTTAGGTATGCCACTTTAGATTGATATTTTTCAGTTTCTGTAATCCTAATGATTTTATTGTTTGTCTTCAAATCGTGTCAAAGTTATTTTTTGAAACGTTTTTGTTTCTCTAAACAAGACAATGGGCTCATGTGCATGTGTAGTATTTCTTAATTTGGCTTTCTCCCTTTTATCATTAGGCCTACATTCAGTATTCTCGGGCGTACTTTCCACTGAGACATAACTCTCCTTGTGTTTGATTTTATGGTCTTCATAGTCTCCCGTGGTATATATTTATAGTTTATTCGGCACGCAGAGATTTTAGGCTTTAATTGTAGTCAAACGAATATTTCCCAATGAAAGTTCAAAGCCTTCTTTATTTTGCACGCCTGAGAGCGAATTCACACACTTGGTACTTTTCTCTGCGAATTCAAACGAGCATTAATATAATTTGCTGATGCTTTTATTAAATCAGTACCTTTTGTTTCTACAGAAACGACATTTAAAGCAAATTTAATAAAATGGGAATTTCCTAAACCTCCTTACAGAAGCTGAAAATCACATTTGATGAAACACTCAACGTGAAATGGAATAATTTTGAATATCAAATTGAATATCAAATGGAACGGCGAAAGTTTAAAATCGCCTGGGAAGACGTTTAATAATCCCGCCATCAGTATGTATGCAGGGATCTCACTGAGACCAACGAAGTACAGTCAACTACGATGCACTATCCAACTTGACAACATGAAAAATAAAATTTAAATTGAAAAATGAAACCTAAAAATAAAGGGAAAGCCCCATGAGGCTGGTGTCATCGATCGATTTACTCCGTATCATTGGTGTCTAATCTCCTTCAGCAGTCCAGTTGTCATACAACAGCCGGGACAATTAGTGAGTGACAAAGTGAAGACTTAATTTAATTGCAAGCTTCCAGATGCTCAGTGGCACAATCAGCTACATTTTAGCGCTGCATCCTAGAGATTAGGACCATATGAAAAGAACACCAACGGAGCTCTAGACAACCTCTGCCGAGCCCTCGGAATCCTTGTGTCTGAATTCAAGTAAGGAGTGTTCTGTTTTTATTAATGTAGCTTGTCCCAGTTTGGCCCATGCTATTAATATGTTCCTTTCAAAATGCTACATTAGAGTAGTTAATAATTCTGGCCATTCTCCTTCTTCGAACTCTTGGTGGTGAATTGATTAAAAATGTCGAGGTCGCTAAAAAATAATGTACAACATGGTAAACGATTAAGTTTTGACATGAACAGATCGAAATTGGCAAGTATTAGTGTTATGGGATTGCAAAATTTCGATTGCACTAATAATGCATCTGAAATTGATCAAAGGTGCCGTCGGAAGAGAAACGAACAAAATTGTGATGTTTCTGAGAATTATGATAGGGGTTCATCAGAGGTGAGGAGTTCGCATCAACGTAACTTGGCCTTGCGCATGCAGGTTTGCACAAAGGCACGTGATCAATATTCGACTGACTAGTCTACATGCACGTGGGCAATGATGTAATCAACGTTTCCGAAACCCGCTGGTCTTCCGTGCAAAATTCAAGAAGTCGAGGGTATGTCAACAGAAACGACGAGAAAAAAATGAAGAAAAAAAAATATCGCCTCTTTGAGTTTCACGGAATTAAACCGCGTCCCCCCCCCCACTATTTTTTCCCGCTGTAAAAGTGAACAAAAAGGTTTTACAAATGCTTTGAGCTGTGAGATGAGCTCGATCTATTGTCCAGCGTTGAATAAAGCTATGTACATTTGAATGTGCTTTATTCCCGGCCTAAACTGTTAATTGTGGAACTCTCTGGCTGGATGCGCAACCATTTTTTTTTTCGTTCACAAGCACGGTGCGTGCTTATCAAGTCACACACTGTGTACAGAGACATGCAGTCAGCACCATCAGTGAATCGTAGGACATACACACTATCGTTACTACCTGGCAAGTCCAAAGGATTTACATGTATAAGTCTGCGGTGGAAATATACATAACTCAAGTTATCAAATGATGCCAATATGACTGAGCGGCTAATGTGGGAACCACGGTTCACTGCCTCGTCAAAGACCTCCTTTAAAGGTTACTCATACCGAAATCCCTCGGTCATCGTAAGGAATTGTTTCGCTTTGAAAATACACGCAGTTGCAATGGAGTTTCATCAGGGAAATAAGGATAGGTAAGTTCCTAAAAGATTTTTCTGTTCTGTAAAGTTAAACAGGAATCATCACGGTTGAAATTATTCTTATTTATTTGTAGTTTTATTTAAACGGGGTAGACCCAACAGTTAAGAAACTACTATCCTTGGAGGCCCTGTAATAATGAGAAAAATATAAACAATTACATAAAATAAGTGTATAAAATAGAAAAAATATACAATGTTATTATTTTTAAATGTATAAACTGTAAATATAAGAGTAAAAGAATAAAGAGCGGAGTAATACGAACTAATATGGTCAACAAAAGTACTCATTATGTAAAGGAAATGTCGAAAAGAACGAAACAGCAAATGTAACTTTATCTATAAAAAAATAAATTAAATGACTGCAAGTAATAAGCAGCATTCCAATTTTGACATTAAAACACTTATAAAGACCAAACGAGGGACCCAGGAACTAAAACGACCAAGTATAAAACAAAAGATAAAGTGCATAAACTGTAAAAATGCAAAGACAATGGATCCTTTGAAAACTAAAAAGACAAGAAACATAAACGTTAAACATGTTCGTTGAAGTAAAACTGGACCTAGTAATAAGATTAAATAACTAATAAAATAACTAAATTTCTATCAGTAAGTAATAAAATGTATTAACTAAAAGAGATCTTTACATATTGAGTTTAAATTATCAATAACAGAGGACAAGTTAAAACTGAGGTTAAATTTAAATGAACTGGCTAAATGCAAATTTTGAAAAGAAAAACAAAAGAAAAAAATGAACTAAAAATTATACGTTACAATTAACGTATAGGCCCTAAGTAAAATGAAAAAAGTATGAAAAAATGAAATGAAAGGAGTATGTACAAAATTTACAAAGACATGGTAGAAAATATAACTGAAATGGAAGGCGTGTTTCGCTGCAAAGGAAAATCTGTAATCGCCACCAAACCTAAAACAAAATAATTAGCGTGGCAAACCGAAAAATGCAGAGAGAACATCAACTCGTAGAACGTTTCGAACGATGCACTTAACTGTTAAAAGCGTTTCTCATTGTACTTGATGTTGTAATAATTCAATGTCACAACTGCTTTTTCTGTATTTATCAAGTCACTTTTGATCTGTCAATATTTTAAAGAAAACCGTACAATCTTAAACTGTACTATGATTCTTTATGAGAATCGACCTGCTGAATAGGATGACGTCATAGGCGTAGTTTAAACATTGTGACGATGCTTTACGTTGTTTTCCTTGCAGAATTTGGAAAATGGAATTAACAGTATAAACAATCGCTCTAAAAAGTATCATCATTATAACACTGATTGGAAATGGGAAAAACGGAATTATTTGCATGAACACAAGCAAACAGAGAAGACCAAAAACAAGAAGCATAACAACACTTGGGATAGCAATAAGCATGTCTGTGGAAGAACCTTGTCAGAACAGTCAATCTTCTTTAGCTGAAAGAGAGACGACCACACCATTGTTTTTATTCCACCAGCTTTGTTACCTTTGTTTTCATTGAAACGTTGTTGAAGGAAGGTTCAGCTATTATGAAAGAGTATGCCTTTCTCAAAGTGATCTTTCATAAAGGTGTGTCAAAGTACACAGCCTATGCACTTGTTAGAATCTGCATGATTCAGAAATGCTCCAAACTCCTGTCGACCGATGCTTTCTTTTTTAATTTTGTTACAAGCCTTTGCTTTCTTTTTTTTCTCCATATAACCATAGCGACGATCTTTTTTCCTGTCCTCTGAACTCTTACCCTAACTTTCACTGTTCTCATCATAACGTTCGTGGTCTTGTAAGACAAGTTATGTGAACACCTGTTTCAGCCCAAAAATATACGGGTTGTTATCAAGTAAATGACTTTTCGGTTACCAATCAGTGTAACCTGCAGGAATATGTGGAAATTTTTTATGAGGTGGGATGTAACACGAGTATAATTCTCGATTCGCGCGCATAGGGACTGCATTTACCACAAGCGGTATCATTCACCTTGAATCGTATAAAATATACATCCACACGAAGATCCCTTCAGCAGCTCGGGGAGAGCAGTGTTAGGCCCAGAGGGATGGGGTTAATGACTCTTGTCTTGTCCGCCGTAAGAAGATCTGGACAGCGATAACTTCGCATGTCGTCCGATATGCATAAAAATATCTTACCGTATTATTCCCTCTCGACCATGATGTATTGGAAATAGTTTCTTTCGGGGAGAATAGTCGAAATAAAACACTGCCTCCGCATAAAATATAAACGTTTCCTAGTAGGAGACACGTTGCTCTTAATGCCAACTTGGGAGTATCGTCTTGCATTTTTTCCCTTTAAGACCAGCACAAAGCGAGCTGATATGATTTCATTCTATGCATTTTGTATATGGACTATATATGCTTACCAATAATATTTCCCGTTCTGAAAGTAAATATTTTGCCTTATAAAATCGATACTCAAAGATGTTCTTCAGTACAATTTAGACTTTGGCTAATACCTTCTTGTGGGGTTCTGGATACGTTATTTTGTGTCTATTAGCATTTGAATAATCCAGTATGCAACACTATATATGCTTACCAATAATATTTCCCGTTCTGAAAGTAAATATTTTGCCTTATAAAATCGATACTCAAAGATGTTCTTCAGTACAATTTGGACTGTGGCTAAAACTTTCTTGTGGGGTTCTGGATACGTTATTTTGTGTCTATTAGCATTTGAATAATCCAGTATGCAACACTATAGACAAAAGTGAACGTTAAAGACGACCCTAACGATGTTTGGGGATACCGCAATTCAGACCATGCTGTTAATTAATTGGTTTTATGAAAATCCTGAAATCGGTGCGCATTTCGTTCGTTACTTCAAGTGTCTCCTCACCTCGCCTTACATCGGTTAGCTTGGAAAATCAGGCCTCTAGGTATACTGAACGTCACGATGCGCCGCAGATAATTGCCACGAATCACATCCTGTTAGTGGAATCGCTGCCTGTCCACACAGCACGAGTTAATAAGTGTTGAATTCATTGGCCGACAAGGGCCAACGCAGGACGGTCAAGATGCACTCAATACTACAATGTACGGTCAATCGAGCTCTGGGTGCAGATCTAGCGTCTTCAAAGGGCCATTTTTAAAACCAACGGTGGCTTTTTAAATTCTGCTCTTTGACCAGTAAATTCCAATAAAAGTATTTTGTTGCGATTCTGTAAAGGAGAAATAAAGACGACATTGTTACGGGTAACATTTACCCATTATTATGTTACAAATTTGTACAATACAGTTGGGTATGAAGTATACCCATGTGACAACATTTCCCCTTTTCTGCTCATGAAAATGGGCAAACTGTACCAACCCTCATTTCAACCACATGTTACGTCATCTTTTTACCGAGATATTGGTTCTATTGTTTACTCAGCACTGTTGCGTTATGAATTTACTCATCGCCGGACGTGTTTTCAAACAGAAATTTGGGACCGTTGCATGCTGACCCATTATTCAACTTTGCTTTCTGCAATCTGGATCGCTAAAGAAAGGGTATCAGTCACAGGACCTTGACAGTTGAGGGATGTGAAGAAAGGTTCCTCTGTGAGTTTGAAAGTCTGAGAAACGAATGTTCAGATACATTACGCTCAGGTACATTAGGGTGAATAATGGCAATGACATTACCACTACAGTGGAGCTCATACCAATGAGTCGTAGGCAAAAATGTCCTGTTATATTCATTTCCAAAATTTATGGTGAAAAGTTGAACAAAACGTAGTCAGTCAAGCAATGTTACAAACTAAATAGGTTCCCAGTCCCTACATTGTCCTTGGACGACCTTTGACTACGGATACAGGCGCAGATTCAGATGTCTAAACCCCCCGCTCTGAGACAAAAAAAAAGGTTTAAAGGGCAAAATAATGTTTAAAAAAATATAAGGAAGATCGAAAAACAAGAAAGCATCCACCGAGATTCTTGTGCACAAGTTGAGTGTTACTCGTGTATGTCATTTAATGTTTCACCATCGTTCCCCCTTTTCCACAAAAACGCACAAAAAAAATCCCGGCCTGACACTTTCCCCCAAAATATCCTGGATCCGCCCCTGGGATATAATTCCTTAATTCGAATATACATTAATGGGGTAGTTAACTTGTACATGTAGATGTTTCCGAAGTGCAACAAGCACTTGCTTTTCAAATTCAGTATGCATGTTCATATACATTATTTAAGCATGTGGTAAGTGGGAGAGTTCTTTTATTGGTGGTATTAGAAGACGCAATCTGAAATACATAACGCCGAAAGACTGTGATTCATGTGGCACTGACCATGCACCATGAACTTAATTTAAAACTGCACATTCTCGCCCCTAGAGCGCCCTCTGGCTTCAAATCACTCACAGAAGTGGATTTCCCCCATCTCCTGTTGCTTGCGACGATCCCCGAGGGCCGCGTCCATGCCCAATAATTGGTCTTTATTCTAAAGGTTCTCCTGGCTATTCACACAGTATTTTTTCAGCAACGAGAAGTGTATATTGACGAGCCATAGGTCCAGCACGTGTACCTGCGTCTGCGACACCACCATCTATCGATTTCAGGGAAAACTACTCGAGAAATTTTTCATCAGTTTGAAGGGATGCCTTGATACCCTTCTAACATAGGGTTATTTGCTACACTTATACCCGTTTGGACTTTAATAATAGCGCATTTCGGTAACAGTCGGGTCCACAGGGGTAGCACCTGGTACGTCCTCTTATTTTTCCATATTCTAAGGGGGATATAGTTTACCCTTATTATTTAATAAACTTTGAAGATAAAAGCAAAGAAAAAATTGCATCCCGCTGGCATGGTTGGGTTCACCGCCATTTAGAGCGCTTCCCTTTCGTATTAGCCAGCCTTTGTCTCCAATATAAGAACACACACAAACACTAATATTTAATTAAATGAACGTGTTTTATATACATATTTCACATAAATAAATTCACTAGACGTAGTGACAAAGACAAATTAGTAGGTTGGCCCTACAGATTAATTCAATAAAGGTAATGCTCTGAATTTGGAAAGGAAAACTTCAATTCCAAATTTCTTAAATTGGCTCAAAAGATGACTGGTGGCATTGATTAATGACCTAGTGATTGGATTATTGTAGGGAGGGCCACGGGCTCCATTTGAAGCAAGATATGGGAAGGAGAGGACCCCCTGCCTTTGTTTTGGTTATTATTTGATCAGAATCTCAGGAATTCTTTACAGACTTCGGGGGGGGTGTTAGATAACCATAGTCTACAGTGGATATAGGTATTGGACAGGTAAGGGAGGGGGTACCCCTCCGTCCCATATCTTGCCTGGTATAACGGGCTCGAATCTAAGCTATGAGCATGCGTTGTGACCTTTGGAAAGTTACTTTACCCCTGTTTGCCTCTTTCCACTCAAGAGAATTGGTTTCCTGCAGGATCATAAATTTTGTCTAAATTTCATCTGAAATCCCTACTATTCCTTCTTTGTTGGCCTTATAGGAAAATATAATGGAGACTCTATCAACATTATTAACCGTAATAGTATTTGCAAACTCCCAGTCATTACACATTATCACAACTGGGCTTTTACAGCCACAAAACAACAAATTAAAAAAATACAAGCACCTTTGTCGTAATAAACAGGTTAAACGGGTTAAGTATGGACGACACAGCAATCTTTGGAACTGTCATCAAAGCATTAGGACTACCTTCAGAAACATTTAGGGATGTAGGCCTATTACATGAATAAAGAAACCACTCTTGGTTTGCCCGACGTTTCACAGCTTTCAGTATAAACCAGCTACATCCTGTTGGTTTAAGGGACGAAACAAAGTGTTCCTTTTGAAAAACCTGACTTAATGCGTCAGCCACCAAACAATCTTAATCTATCAGCTCAGAGTTTCAAAGAAGGTGCTTTGGTTACTACGTAGGATTGTGTGATTTTGCAGGTTTTGAACAGTCAAAACCACGGCTACGGTGCAGTTTCACCGCACTGCTCAGGAAATTCTGCGTTAATCATCTTTTAATTATCCATTACGGACAGAAATCCTGAGCGTGTTCCATATAAACTCAGAAAACATACAGGTTAGAAGTGGACAAATTCATAATCCTTGCTGACATGCTTATTGCGCTAACCATTACTCAAGAATTCTGTTTTGTGTATATTAGAAATTCTTTTTACGGTATAAGCATGATAAAAAATTGGACCCGAATTTCTCGGTAATGACGTGGTTAGACTAGCACTCCAACATCAAGGGTGTAGACGAAACCTTTAAGCGACTAACCAGCTGTCTGGATTACAAGCTGTGGCTCGGTATATTACAATCTTCATAGAGGGAAGACAATAAAATGACGCTTCCAATAAAACGTTAATTAAGTAAAACGCGCAGTAGTTTTACCCCATATCGTTATATGAGTGGTCGGTGCAATTACAATTTTTTTTTCACTTAATAATCGATGACACTGGAACAAATAATTCACTAAATGGTGTTGCCTACCTTTCTAAAGGGAACTAATATACATCTTGCGAAATCGAAGTTCTAGCCTTCTCTCATGAAAACTAAGTGAATCCTTTGAAATCGCGTCCTTCACTTCAATTGCACTGAATCAAATAGTTGTTCTTGGTTCTGTTTCATAATAATTTCATGGTATCAATAAATGTAAATAAGTAAGCACTGTAATCGTTCTAATGACTCCAAGGATGCAAAAGCACAATGTTGTTTTGCCCGTTTACAATACGCCCCAAGTGTACAAATGTCCTTAGTCGGAATTAACGTTAATGTATACCCGATTTATTTAAAATCTGCTCCTTCGTTCATTAGGTAATAACCTCTTCACCGACATGTTTTGTGTACTTTTGCACACTCTCTATGTACAATTAGTTTTCAAAAATTACAGTTGTACATTAAGTGCAGTGTGTATATCTGTATAGTCAAATTGCAGAAATCTGAGCTACCTTAATTCTGCACGTAAACGATGGCACTGGCTTTCAAATAAAAACATGCATCACCAGATGTATTTTTACAATATCAACAAATTCCTGTAGAGCATTTAATAAATAAAGGCAAACCTTCAATTGAATCGGAAGAAAAGTCACGATGGAATCATTATCATTACAAAATAAGTAGCACTATGCGCGATTGTTATTGGAACAGTGTCTTGGAACTTCACAAAAATATGAAAGTATTTCACCAATTAAGATATTATTCGAAAATCTGATGAAGGTACACTACGAATGCCATGGTGCCGCAGTCGCTACAAAATGTGAAGCGATGTGAAACTAGGAACTTTCAACCAGTCTGAGAGTGCACAAAATGGCCATCTAAATGACAGCACAAGAACAGTTTGCATGTATTATATTTCATGTTAAACATGGCAAAGATCTCAAATCAAATAAACTATTTGCTATTTAACACCATAACGCCAGATGGTATTTACAGTGATGAAATAATACTTCTAGAATGGAGTAAAAAAACAAAACAAACAGCACGCACACACACAAAATCAACAAACCAAAACTCACGCAAAAATCACACAATTTCCACTCATCTCTAAACTTTTTTCTCATCATTTCTGTCCAATTGGCAATTTTAGTTCCACGAAAATACAAACTGATTGGCTGTTTTTATCATAATTGTCTATATAATGATACAAAATGTTCATGGTTTTAGCTGTTTCGATCGTTGTCGGCGCTGGAGTCCAGGTATGCCGTCGCGTATCGCTTGCCCACGTCCATCGAGTTGCCGTCGTAAGATATGCGACGGAGCGGAAAAATGGCACTGTTCCCGTCGGCTTTGGAAAAGGTTCGTAGGGCGGGAACCTACGGAAGATCCAAATTGACATTTAGTTTAGTTACCATGTAAGGTTTAAGCAGAGGTGCAACCGCGAGAAAATTGGTCGGGGAAAGGCTTTGAGTCCAGGACTGTACCTCACTACAATTACTCTCCCCGATCAGAAAATGAAGAAGCTGAAAAGAGCATTTCACTATAGATTTTATTTTTTTATTTCATATGAAGGAACCCCCTTGGGTATTTCTCCAGAATTAGACCATGGTTTCACCCTTGAAATTTGAGCTCCTTTAAGCTACTCACCGAAGTTTTAGCTCATGACTCAAAAGAAGATTATAAAACCAGTTTAGCCTCTTCTTTATCTTAATGTGAATGATCAGTCATTCCAATTCTACTTATGCAAGCGATAACCTAACAAGTATTTAAATATCGATGAATAGACCGGATCTCCAGTGACTTCGCCCATTATTATGTAAGTTGACATCCATAATTCATCAATGACCAATAAAGAAAAATTGAATTTTGGTATTCAATATGTTCTTCTGTAAAACTCATCGATTAATAGCCATGTATGGTTTGTCACCTCATAGCCATCATCCGTGACCGGGTTGACATTCTGATATTTGCATTCTTTGTAGATGTTACGTTTCTTCAGCAGGTACAACACAACGATGTCACACATTACGGTGGCCTAGAGGGGAAGAAATAAGAATAAATAGGCCTCTATATTGATGACGTCACACTTTTATTATAAAATGAAATAGGGAATAAAACAGAAAAACAAGCACCAATTACAAAAAGTTAAAATGGGGATGTTCCACTATAATTCTCAGAATGTGAACGGCTAGATCACTGACTTTGAAACGTCATACCAAATTAATTTAACTGCTGTCCGGAGAACACTGTTCAGCATTTGTTGATTAAGCACGTACGTCCGGTACCTTTGGCGTTGGACTGAGGTATATGTCGTCTTGTTCCGCCCGGGACGAAACAAAACGTGGGCTGAACGAATGTTTTCTTTAATTTGTCGACACCATTCGTCCGTGGAAATGTTTTACTGGGCTGTCAAAACCGTGGAGGTAGGGGAAATATTGTAATTTGGAGAGTCTTTGCATAATGTAAACGGGCCATCCGAAATGTCAGCACTTCAGTACGGTGGCACAGCACGTTTTCAGCTGTCCAATTTTTCAACATAAATTCTTGGCTATGTCATCCGTGAACAGTGCACTTTTCTCTGCAATCCTGAGATAAGGTGTGACAAAGCGCCGCACTAATCACCACAACTTGGTAGAACAGTTTCACAATAATATAATTATGGTTTTTATTTTAAAAGGTTTCGCTAGCCAACTTACGTTCGTTGAAAACGTGAACAACAGTACCGGTTCAAATAATCTTGAGGATATTTCATCTCAGGAATTTGTCAATTTGAAGAAGTTTAAAGGCACAACGTTACTTGCTTTCCGTACAGGTACAACGAACCAGTCTATGGATCGATTCCTTAAAATTATTTTAAACCGCTGGTCGCCGGGTGGCGTGTAAACACACACAATTTTCCTCATTTGGTCCACGGAGGATGTGCACACTCGTTTTAAGAATTCTGTTTCATTTGCGCGGTTGACGTATTAACGCGTTATGCTTGGTTGGGTCAAAGAGCGCAAGAGGATCCTACAGGCACACGCTGCTACATATCTAATAAGTGGACCCTCCCCACCTACATTAATCCGGAAATGCTTTTTTATATACCCAGCAAGAATTGAGACCGAGGGGTACCCCCTCAACATGTCCAATCCCTATACACATTCCAGACTATTGTTACTTAACACATCCCCCCAAGATGTCTGAAAGGAATTCCCCAGATTCCTACGAGACAATGACCAACACAAAGCGGGGGGGGGGGTTTCTCTCCGTCTCATACCTTGCTGCATATGTTTTCTTGAGTAATAAAAATTGAATTGGGGAGCCCACACCATACACAAAAGAACTAAGGAATTAAAGACCTCATTTAATCGGGTAAACCGGTTTGCTTACGAACTTACGAAAGAGATAAGGATACAAAATCCCATCTAGCAACCCCTTTTGTATTGAAACAATTGGCAAACACCACACATGGCCACATGTGACGCCTATAAAGCTATTGACTTTTGTATGTGAACCAGTTGACGTCTAGACACGTGCCACGAGCTGTGCGTCCCTACGTATGTTATGGAAGCTAGGAATTATTTGAGGGAAAAAAATGCCTTCAGCATCTTTTTCGGGAAAGAAAGCCCGACATTAACTGGTTATAAGGTGAACCTTCATTTCAAGCCTCTAGTGAAGTTTGTGGGAATTTTGTCGATGATTTAGAAACACCATTGAACTACACGGTTTAATGGTCCGACTTGAATGACTACGTTTTTAAAGCGTCTTAGGGCCCAGCGTCTTTTGAGATCTGTCTTGACTTTGGCTGTGTCTGACTTTAATTGGCTGCCACCGATAATAATATACATGCTCTAATAGGAAGTGGTTGCCACCGCAATGTGGCTTTTCATAGCAGCGCGTGTTGTATCTAAAGCCACACCCAAGTGATTCGGAGCCTGCTGCATGCAGTCATATGTCAGTGGGGACTTTGATGCGAAATAGGCACTTGTATGATGTGAGGTTTTTAACGATGGAGCATTGTGACACCACTGTTTTATTTTACAAATGAATGAATTGACAACTGAATGAAATTTTTACCAGTTGGCAAAATATATAAAACTGTAATTAAGTGCACTGCTTGCGCCTTCACTCTGCTCAAATACCGCAAAATATAGTTATGTCTCCAACACAGAGAAATCCTTTTTTGGTACTCGTTATGCCGCTCATGATTTAGGAAAGCACAGTATAGACTAATTTCAAGTCCCATTGGGTGTGTGTCACTTATTATGTACATGTAGACGACTTTCTTGATGATGTGTCTATGTAAATTTTGAAATACAAGCCATGGAGATATCCTGGACATATTGTTACCGAAATATACAATGAGAGCAAAGAACAGCCATGTTTGTACGATAAACCGATTATCGATTCTCTTGGGACCGTCAGCACGTGAGATTGTCATTAAATCCAGTATCGGTTTAATAATCTGGATACACGACCTGATTCGATTTTAAGCTGTATCGAGTGTTCGAGTATCGTGACCAACGGAGACGGCCGGAGAGCAAGGATATGACCAATAAAACAATGTCGATCCTGCACTATCAACGTCACGTGAGTGATTTCACGTCACTGAAAGGGAGAGGTATAAATTAAACAGTCAACGGATAACGTCCTGTTCAGGTGGACTGACGTTAACAGGACACCCCGCTCAAATTTTGGAGAAGATCAACAGTGAGTTTCGAACTAATTGAAATTATTATCTTGTGTCTTCAAACTTGCCGTCCTTACGCTACTACTAGCGTTTATGAAGCTACCAACATGAGTTGAGAAATCTTAAATTTCAAACCTCCTCGTGAAATTTAATTTTGCCACAATAGATTTAAACTACGCATTAAGTTGCTTGAGTAATGCTATTATGGACGGAAAAGGTTTAATAACGTACCAGTCTACTTGTGATGCATGTGGTCTGATTTCTAGACAAGAGTCAGTATTGGATTACGTTTCCAGGGACAACAGCTGTGGAAGAAAGTTGTCGAAGCACACTTTATCGGGTGTCCAATATCAATCCGCAGGTCGAGTGACTGCAAAAGACGCGATATTCAAAACCGGATTTGGGACGGGGACGTGCTCATTTTAGCTTTGCGTCGCAGTGAAAATTGCACAAGAGGAACTCCCTCGGAGTTCACGCAGCTTCACACTCCGAAAGGTATAGAAGGCGAGAAAAATAACAATTACTTCATACTTTCTACTGCAATTTGTATGCGTGGTATATTCAGCGCCGACTGGCTTCATTCTTGAGCGAGGGAATACATATGTGTCCATTTCTTTGGCATAGTGTCAAAGGGACGTTTCGCCCCACTATGTGAAGTGCGAAATAACACTTGGAGAAGGGGTAGATTTTTATTGCTTGTTGGAATTGAATGATTAAAACATGAACTGCTTTGAACTGGTTCAGAAAGAGACACCCCCCGACACACACACACAACCACCCACTCTCTCCCTCAATCATTATTATGGGCACAAATCACGCGATCTGACAACAAACAGCAATCTAACATAAAAGCACGGCTCGGCCCTCTCGGTTTGATAAGTTCACGGCGCGAGATTCAATTCCCAGCGGGGGGGAGTCATCGCTTACGGGTAAGAAACGGGAAGTGATCTGAACGAGAGCTGGCGGTCAAACAATCTCAAAGGGGTGGTCTCTTTCAAATAAGTTGAAATGAACCCAGTCAATTCAACGTCCTTTATTTTTTGTGTTTGTGTCTTTTGAACTAAAGGTGTGTGTACATGTTCATATTTTTGGCAAGAAAAAAAAAACACGTGTTGTCCAATGTGCAGGTTGTATGCTGATGCAGGGTTTTTGTTTGTTTTGTTTTGCTTTGCTTTATTCTGTTGGCGAAAAGATGATTTGTTTTTCCCCACTTTATTTGGTGGTTGCCTTTAATGTTGCTGTTCCCAAGGACGCTGTTAGAGTGTTTCATTAGTCGATAATTCCACGAAAGTGCCATTGATGTATATGTTGACCTGTCATTGTATTCTTATTTTTGTTTAAATTACTGTTACAGCAGCTGTCGTTGCTGTAGCAGATGTAACCGTGGTTGTTATTTGATGTTGACAGTTAGTTATTGTTGTTGCTTCTGATCTTCTCAAATATTTCTGTTTACTGTTTAGTCATCCTTAGCAAAGTAAAGGTACACTCGCGGCTATCTTACTCCACTTCGATAAGCACTGCATTACTCTTGTTAATGAAATATACATGAAGCTGTTGATATCTCAAAATTTCCGTGTGTAATTTGCACCTACAGAGGAGGCCGACTTTATCGGTCACTGATTTCCAGCTCATATGAAAGCACCAGGATGATCCCATGTGAGAAAATTATAATAATGAAATCACGTTGGGGTCATTGAAAGTTCGTCTCAACTCATTACTTAACGGTGAGAAGACGATCATAAAACGCGGTGTGTGTCAAAGAAAAAATGATGTTTCCCCTGATTGGGTCATGGGCCATTGCTTTCCAATGGAGTGAACACTCTAATTTCTATACTGGATTTTAAAACAACGGAAAGTTAAGGCTGTATACATGTATTAAAGTCTAGGCTTAGAAACGCAATGCCCCGGGCGCAATACCATAAAGAGGTCTAAGTCATTCAATTCACATATACCCAGAACAGTTCACTGATTAAATTGAAGCCAAATTCAATCCTGTACAAATTAATAAAACACCAAGGATTGTGTTTAAGTCAAACAAGCATTTAGAGTAATCGACAAAATAATTTCAAATCTGCTAACTTGAAAAAAGGAGGGAGCAACCTTTCACCGTAAGAGATCGAGATCATGTCATTTGGTAACAGGAAAAATCTAATTTAACAAATAAAAACAAATATCGACACGTTGATAAACACAAATCTCTGTGATTTTCATTGCTTGTGATTGGCTCAAACTGTATTTTGGTTATAAAACGTTTGTTGTTGTTCCTCTTGGGGCTCTATGATATTAGTGACAAAAGTCACAAGAGGAGGACAGCTTACCAGCGAAAGCAGTGCAAATCCCGACGCCACGTTAAGCATGAGGGGGATAAAATGGAACTGCCCCGCCACCCCGGTGATCTTGATGTTGAATAGAATACCGTAGGCCTTTGTCAACGTCCGATGCTCAGAGCCGTTTGACTTGTAGTACTTCGAGTACCTGGTTACCATGACGATGAGAGGCGAAGACAGAAACAAAGAAGCTAATTAAGAGAGGAATAGAGAGGTGCGTTGGAGGATAGCAAAGACCGACGAATTAAGGGACGAAACCTCAAGATGAGAAGCACGAGTTTTCGCGGTAGCCCGTCCCAATCAGATATTAAGTGATGAATCCAATGTGACAACCCGGGGCTGGTGAATTCCTTCTAATGTGCTCTCAATATCAAACTGCGGTTCTTTCCAAGCAGACATCGCTGTCGTCTTGAGACTTCTATTCATTTAGCGTCAATTTGGCCAAATCGGTTGGCGGGGGAAACCGTCTCAGCTGGTCACATTCGTTCCGCAAGAGAAAACTGCGCCAGCGAAAGAAAGAAACCCTGGCGCAGTGACTTAAAATGTTCGCTTTAAAATTGATGCTGTCTCTCGCATTCTTAATGCAGAGTTCTCATTACATTCTAATTAAACCTCTTTCCACGAATGTTATCCATTGGAATAAACATGGAGGATGTTGTTTCCCTTCCTCCATATGAATCGCGCCAGCGATAACTTAACCTTGCAAAAGAGGTGGGCGATGTTATGAGAGGAATGCTGGCGCCACGACCTGACACTTTCCTATTAATGGCCAAGTATATCAAATTCAACATTCTAAGCTATTTAAAGGGAGTGAAATGGTGATGACAAATTACAACGAACCGGGGGAATTGCAACTTGAACAAGCTTCAGTATGCTTGGCCAAAACATAAGATGTTTTTTCCCCGAAGCTGACAAGGATCATTTTGGCTGTATTCGACGCGTATTTTGGAAAAAAAATTATCAAAGTCGTGTCTTGCTTGGGTTCACGACTATGACTACGTCGTAGACCTATACAAGAAAAGTCACGGAAATGAACAGAAACAGGCTCAAGCAAGGTCCTGTTTGAGCTGGTCCCCTTACCGGAAGTTGAACCCCGCAGCTATTTGGGCGTGCTGGTCATCGGAGCGGAAGAATCGATACTTGGGCAGACATTCGTCTCGATGTCTATCAAGGTTGCAATTCCACTGAATGTCTATCGTGACCACGCCTCCCTGGAGAAAGAAGTGAATTGTTAATCGTTGATAGGAATGACATCTTTCTGACCCGGCAATGCAGACTGCAGCCGACGGTGTAAAAGTAAGGCTGGGGGTATAACCCAGAATTCATGATACATCCAGCTGTGCCTCCCCTTAAAAAGCATAGTTACATTAGCTTGTAATACCAGATCCAACAAAATAGGTCTTAGAACTTTCTTGAAGTAAAGTTATTTGTGTTTGCAACAAAAAGAGCAAACTGCATGACCTCTTCGTGTTCATCTATTGCTCAGTTTGGCATCCTGAGTCAAGTAAACATTATGTGGGGAAAATATCGAAAGTTCCCTTATCAATTTAGATTGTGCAATATTCATTATTAGCCTTTTAACTTGACTTGGCTCTGGTGACGTGACTGATTTTATAAGGTTGCACGGGCCACGTAGTGAGCCAACTAAACGGTTGAAGGTATTTCCCTAAATAAGAACTGGCCCACAGTAACTCCCCATTGAAAAGCACTGGCTACGCCCCTGGATGATATGAGTTAAGCCTTAATGCTGCAACATTACACTTGTCATGAAAGTCCTAACCATCCATTCAACCTCCAGGTAAAATGTCTGACGTTTAGTGTCACTTCACTTAACATTTTAATCTAGGAGTCCGAAGAAATTACTGTGACCGCGGCGTGAATAGTGACCACGCGTCTTATCTCCCTTGCGTTTTATTGGTAACAGCTAAGCCTTAATTGGGGTTCGGATGGGCTGACAAGAAAAATAATGCGGATGGCTGGATTATCAGTAATACACTCCGCACAAAATCTGCAGTCGTATAGCGTTGAGTTCAGCTCCCGTAACTACATAGCGAAAACCTCTGTATAGCGATACCAAGTAACTGACAAGATGAGAGTGTGGATAGGCAGCAATCACAGGCGCGCGCGCGGCAAAGAATGCTGGGACCTTTGTGCGTGAAAATACCCAGTAGGCCTACTCGTGTGTTTTGCAAGGTAACTTTTTAACTTCAACCCGGAATATAATAAAACAAGGGAATACTGTGACGTCCTTCGGATTTTTGGGCTCACCTTGTAAGCCATGTTCTCGAACGTGTCATTCGCCATTTCCACAATAGACCCCAGCTTAAAGATGGGACAGAGTGGGTCGTTGACCGGGTCGTACATGCAGCCCCGCAAGTAGGCCTTCTCCGCCGTCTCCCGTATATTTCTTCTGTGACAAAAGCGAAAGGGAACGGGGACATGCAGCATTACGAAGTACAAAGAAAGATGATTAGTTTCACACGAAAACAAATCATGGTTCGGTTCACTTGCTAACAGGTTACGTCTTGAACACACTTGCTTTCGAAATACGATATCTCAACAGATGCCGTTGTTTTTAAATGAGACCACTCGCAAGGGCCGGGGCGTTTCAAGAAAAGTTGCTTTGAATTGCAAACTTTCAGGTGCTCCATTAGTCCAAGAATTGCAAGTGTCGTTTTGTACCCTCCCTTTAAAGAAAAAAAATTAGAACTTTCATATTCTATAATATGCATAACACATGCACGGCGGCGTCTCTAGCGATTGAATTGCCTGAATATACCGACACATGATTAAGTAATTAATGTTTCACAGCAAGTACAAAATGTACTGACATCTGCACATAAAAATCTGTACACGATAGCTGCAGGGTAGAACTTATTGTCATTTCGGGTTCAATATATGATTTTTGTTGTTTTTTTTTCAAAGCATACCACTTTAACCATTTCTGCAATTGATATTGGGCCGGGAGTGACGCAAGGGAAGTGAAGGCACTACGCGCTTGGATACAATATGGTAGGGTGTTGCTATATAAGCTGTGGCTTTCTTGAAACTCAGCCTGAATCGACGCGACGACGGAGTGTTTCCAAAGGTTGGAAACTGATTAGCTAGCATACTTTTATAATTGCGCAGGCCAAATTCGTGGTTTGTGTCCACGTCGGCTTTCCATTTTGGAGTTCTTACAATTTAGAAGACAATACGATATTACGTACATCAGTCTTGCGGACATTATAATCTACCTCTAAGAAATGTCTGTACAGGTAAAATAAATTTATAAATGGAACTGCCGACTTCTACAGTGCCGAAAGGTTATCCTAGAAACTTGAACTCAGTTCATGACTCCATCCCACCGTGAAATTATTGTCACAGAACTACCGCAAAGTGAACGGGGTGTACAAATTTTTCCCAAGCCATTTGCATTTCTGCAGATTACATCGCTAAACGACGCGCGTTCACTGATTATATTCTTGTCACACAGCATGCTTGATCAAGCGTGAAGCCAACCCTTTGGAGCAGGAAAAAACTATGCCACTTTTTAAAAGCCGCATTCGTCACCAGTAACTCATCCATTACAAGAACTGATTGGGACAAGAAGAGTGTTGCTTCTTAAGTGAAGCGAGTAGTAATCTCGGGAATTCTAAATTTACTTGGCCTCTGGACCCTTCGATTGGCATGCCTTTTCCATCATTCGCGGTTTTTTGTCGCAAACCAGTAAAAGCAGGACTTGAAAAAAGAATGGGTCTTCTTCCCGGTCGTATTAATTTTGCCTGATATCACTCTCGCTCCAGCCGGAATCCGAGTCCCACTGATTAACTTCTCAACATCAGGACTGCTTGTAAAGTATCGGGAAGGTGGTGTGTCACAAATTAGCTCGTAAGAGAAGGCAATCAATTACGCTTGACCTCCTGGTGTCTTTGGACGATAGGAGGAGGACGAAGTGGCTGTATGGAAGTTGACAAAGAGGGACGGGGAAGGAAACAGGCAAGCCCCCTCCCCATGCAGAAATATGACGGGGGACATTTACTTCAAACAAACTTTGTTCAGGCTAGCTGTGAACTGATGAAGAAACTTAGCACCTTTGATAAGGTGAAATGTTGTTCGGGTGTTACGGGGAGGGAAATTTTATGCGTCAACATGAGCCAAACCAACCAGCCAACCTGTTCTTTCAACGTGTTGTAATTAACTACATGTAAACATTAACGACTTCGAATCAGTGGCATCGAGTCATGACACCATCAAGCTATTCAAGATGAAAAAGAATGGCCTCACGCTGGAGATTTTTATCTCACCTCAAAGATGAAAACGTACTGAGTGCTTTTTGCAATACGTGCAGGCCTACGTGCAGGATGCCCGGAAGTACGTAAAAGGTGACCATTAATCCGGTTGACTAATGAAAAAGCGCCAAAGCTGACAAGACTACTCATGTAGCCGTAAACTGTCGGTCGCGCGCCAGCTACGCGTGATTAATAGAGGCCCATCAACTACACTGTAAAAATGATGATACTAATTCCTCGGATACAGAGTGTTTGCTTTTGCCCCCGACTCTCCTTGTTCTTTGACTTGGACGAGGTGGTCTCTTATTAGATTTTTTATTCGCATAACTGTAACACGACTAATTTGTGATCAGGGAGGAAATTTACTTTAAGGGTCAATACACTGTACAAGTTAGAACGACAGTGTGGGGGAAAATTGGCCTTTTACGAGGATTGATGGATTGATTAGAAAATCACCGTCTGAGGTGGTGCGTTGGTTGAGGTGGGGCATGGAGGTCGTTCAAGGGTTGGTTTCATAATTTTATGTATTATCATTTGTTTTTCGTTTTGTCTTTTTTAATTGTGAATTTTTGCAATAATGGTATACAGGAAAAATTTATTGCAAATTCAGTGCTTAATCGTGCTACTTAAAATGTAAACAATTCGGACAATTTGAATCCTGGCAGAAAAAGCTGGAAATCGAAATGAAGTTTTCAATATAAGTAGAGATACACTGAAAGGTTTCATTTGATAGCTAAAACAACAATTTGTGACGATTTTTTTCGGGGGGGGGAGTAAATGTTACTTTTGGGTTGCATATCTATGAAACCCGAACAGTCACATTCGAACAACCGTAGTCAAACTATTTTGTGAAATGTTATGGTCACTCCCATTTTGCTGTTGGCAGCAACGACAAAACTTGCGGTGTTCATGGTATTTTTTTCGTATATGAATGGTTCCCTCTGTATTGATAAATTAAATAGGCTACTGATAACCAGTGTTGCAACCATGCCCCAGGGCCTGGTTCCAAACGGTCAACTAAATATCCAACCCTCCATCGTGCGGGTAGTGTCGGTCGAACCATAATGGTTAACTACAGTCATCCCTCAAACTTGCTCCTTGTAGTCTTCCAAGTCTTCCATCCAGTCGTTTTCCCGATCAAAACAGAATAAGACACAAGCTATTTTGGTTTCTGTTTTTTCTTCTAGTAATTATCAGGGACTATTATTATGACAACCTTTCAGTGGAGTCAAATCAAAAGCTACCGTAGACACTTTACAAAAACAAAGTAACCCAGCGTGGAGGAATTCGCAAGCCTCATATGCCGTCCCAAGAGATGAAAAGTATGACAGGTTTAATCCCCCCCCCTGGCTGGACGACTCCTAGATTACTATACATGTACATGCGCTAGGAGTCTGCGGAGAAACGCTTCGTGGTGCATTTCAAGAACACAAGAACAGAAACAATGGAAGCGATACGTCTGGTTGAGATGGTTGTGAGGATTGATATAGGAATTACAGAATGCGGTGAGGTTCAGTTTTGTATTTCCATATCATCCAATCAAAACAGATGACGCAGCGGCCAGACGTGCTTGAAAAACTTCATGCATTTTTAATGTCTTCCATTTACTTATCAATAAAGTATTCAGGGTCTGTTTAGTGAGTTTCTGCTTGCAATTGACGAGATTAATAGTTTATATCAAATTTAATGGAATTGTTTTACAAAATCACGCAGAGACAAAAATATATCACACCGACTTGGCAATACTATAGAATTGGTGTTAACTGTGTTTTTTCAAGAATCCAACAGTGAAACCACCAGTTGACATAGGTGTCCTAAAATCTCGCGCTGAACCAAAAATAAAACCATTCAAGTGGTTTTCTTTTATTGCACCATTCCACTGATATGTAATTCTTTCAAGTGATTTGAACAGTTCTGATTGTCGTAATAGTTCTTTAAATTAACTTGGTCTGAAGACATCGGCTATAACCCCTAGCCTTTCTCTTTAAGACTCCTTTAAATTTTGTAATTTCAGCAACGGATGAAGAAAAAAGACAATCTGTCGATATGAAGTGGAAAATATTGCTCGTCAGAGCAGAATATAGTGGTTAAGTGCGCCACATTATTTTGGGCACCATACACCGCACTTATCGACTTTTTGATTTAGTAAACGGACAGCAATATTTCTTCTTTTCTAGGAAACACCATTAGATTTGCAATAACGTCATTGCAGGTGTTCGGTTTCTTCATTTAAACTGATAATAATTTATATGCCTCCATAGACGTAATTGATTTTGCTCCATTAAGACTGTTCGTTGAACCTTAATCACAATCGATTCAGGGTTGAACACACAGTAAATTATTAGTATGCAAACAACACCGTAAGGTGAAACGATATATTCAATATAGAGACAGCCTACAACTGTACGATAATTTGAAACTGCATTTTTTCACCGGTAAAGAGATGAGGCAACGGAATGTTCCATAAGTACATCATGTAAGCCTATCTCAAATTGAGCCACTCATAAATTCGGACGCAATGTCACAGAAACAGCGATAGCAAATGCTCTCCAGTTTGCTTGCGAAGGAGAAAGCAAACGATCATTTGTTATCGTTTGTACTGTTGGATTAATTAAAATCTTGAGTTACGGCCTCAAACTTTCCCCCTTTAATTTTAACTCGAACAAAGACTCGCACTGGATTGCAAAGAAAGTGATTCAAAGCTTGTACCATTTATGGGAGTAGTTTATGCACATTATTTACCCTTCTACGAGTAAAAAGTTACCAAGTGAAATATAACTTATGTGGCCGCAGACTTTATCCGAAGCGAACTCATTCATTCAATCCGATGAACATGTTGCAGCTGATAAGGATGGAAAGGTTGCAGAGTAGCAAAAGGCTTTATTCCGTAAATAATCTATCAATGGTACAGGTAATAAGGATACCGTTGGCTCATTTCCTATCTGAAATTTAAATTGAGGAATTTTGAAATGTCTGCCTCGCATAGATTTAGCTTGCTAGATTGACATCAGCCGAAAAGCTGGGAACATTACGGAAAATTAATTCACAGTTGCCGCCCTTGTGCTGCATGATCCCTTGTTTTTAAGATAGAACATTTCCATGGAATTTGCTTTGGGTGAACCAACGCCATTTGTTGCCGATTCATTCTGTCTGTTCGCGATTAATTGGTAACGCGATATCGTTATTATTCTCAGCGGTACACCACTGATTGCACGGGTAAGAGACAGTACGACCACTCCGCAGACTAAGAGGGAGAACAAAAAACCTGACCGGAGTCGGGCCCTCTTCGGATTAAGATGATTGATGCGAAGGGAAGGATGAAATTGCTGAGGAAAACAGTGAGGAAGCGGGTGCATGCGGGGAAGAGGAATGAGAAATAACTAGATAATTGAAGAAAAGATCGAAGAGGATAAACGCAAAGACCGATGTTGAAATTGGGCATCAGTTTAGAGGTTGGCCTGCAGAGCAGTGGAAACACGCGCTGACAGGCGCAGAAAAAGTGGAATGCCTGGGGCAACAAGTGCACCAATGGCCCGACGGACGGACAAGACAAGACACCAAGATTAATGAATGCATGACTATACTCACTTTGAGAAGTTGAAGGCTGGGAAGGAAATGCTGTTTTTAATCATCACTGTGAAATTTTTAGCTTCTAGGAGCACCGGTACTTTAGCTCTAAATAGAAATCAGGAAATAACGGAACTCATTATTAATGAAAATATTCACGAGCATTAAAAAAAGAACAAAAGTCCAAACCAATCAATATTGTGGAAGTAATTATAACAAGGCAGATGTTGATGTAAACAAATCCTTGAAAAGTGGCTGATCATGGGATCGGAGGTATGTACCAATTCCTCTCTCGGTCTGGCTCCAGGATAAAACGATAAACATTCTTTGATACTGTGACTGCAGTCATCGAATGCCTTTCCAGATGCCCCTCGCAAATAAGCCTTTTGTGACTAAAATTTGAATAAAATCTGATATATTGGGTTCTTTATGAACATACCGGTAACAATTTGAATTTTTCGTACTAAATACACTGTTGCTAAACCTCGTGAATCGAGGCAAACGTTTGCTTAGTTACATAAGAGAGGCCTTGTACCAATACAGTTTTCAGTGGATAAGAAAGGCACGAAATTGAACCAGTCCATAGACTGCTTCACTGATAAATTCTTAATTATGCACGCATGCGCAAAAATGGCCTTGGTGGCAAGAAGTGTGTGGGCCATTGAAAGTGTACAGGGATGCGACGTTGATGATCATTTTCTCTCAGGTTTTCTGGCTTTAATTTTTTTTCGTAAAAAAATCCCATTAAATCAGGTTTGCTATTAGTTTCTAATTAAGGACTCAGTGGAATTTCTCGTGCTCTGGTAAAAAAAGACTTTAGGCCCTGTAATCGTAATTTTTCCTGTGCGCACAAGATCGCCGTTTCTTAGTATGGCCCCTTTCCATCATAAATAGTATAAACTACATTGTTAGTGTTCTTGGAGCCAATTTGTGCATTTGTAAAAACACGCACTGATGTTCAATGTACATGTACCGGTACTGTATACCCATTCGATTCACTGCTTTCTGCGCTTGGGAAATCTGAAGAACCAGACCCGTTTCTCTTTGGAATCTGCGCTTTGTCTTGTACAACCCCAAACACAACAACTGAATACCGTTTCTTTCGGCAGTAGCCCTACTCCAAATAACCGAGTTCAATGTAAGCTATGTACGTACAGTATCCGTGTACATTGAACATCGGTACGTGCTTTTACAAAATGCACAGGTTGGCTCCAAGAACACTAACAATGTAATTTATACTACTTATGATGGAAGGGGCCATGCTAAGAAACAACAATCTCGTGCGCACAGGAAAAATTAGGAATACAAAGTCTTCTCAGAGAGCAGTAAAAATTCCACTTCAATTAGAAACTAATCTCAAACACAATTTAATGGGATTTTCTGGAAAAAATCAACAAAGCCAAAAAAGCCAGATGGAAAATGATCATCAAAGTCGCACCCCTGTACATTTTCAATGGTCTACTCACACTTCTTGCCACTTAGGCCATTTGTGCGCATGCCTGCTTAATTATGAATTCTAATTCTAATTGTTGTTTCATGTGCAATCAGATAACTCGTGCAGTGTACCAGTTTTTATTCAAATTTAATTTGCAACAGGCTTATTGGATCTGTGCTATACAAATGCAGCTGCCAGGGGAACTATTCGAAAATTGGTTGACGATTGAAAGAACCAGATGTATATAGAATCTTCTTTAGCTAAGTTCATTCACTTGCATCCGATATCAGCTTCGTGCACCAGGAGATCAATTTATATGGAAACTTGATATTACAACCCACATTTCTGCCACTTTTTTCAAGCATACTCGCACACCCTGATTACTTTTAGGACGAAGGAAGGGAATCAAAGAATCAATACATGGATGTAGGTGATAAGGGCAAAATTCGGTCGGTAAACTTCAAGCCACAGTAACAGAGATTGCCGAATGACGACGCCTGCTCCGCGCTGCGTCACATGGCCGGCGTGTATGGCTTTTGTTATTCTTCCCCGTAAAGGGGGGGGGGCTACAAGATAATTTTAAACGCACAAGTGAGCTAAGGGAGATGCAGCAGTAGACATGGGTCCGACGACTAACCTTTTTTGTGCACTGGGGGGCAAAGGAGTGAAGGAGCAATAAAGACGTTACCTAGGAAACAGGAATCACCTGACAAACGTAGATTCGTTTTAACGGACATGATTTGTCCCTTTTGGGAATGTTAGACAAACACGATCAAAGACTTCCTACATGTGTAAACGAGCCCTCTGAACATTGTTTTGTACATAATTTGAAAGAGTCCGTGCAATGTAATTTGAAAATGCAGTTACTGAAAACGTTCCTTTGTTTCCCTTTTAATACGATTTTCAATTATTTTTGCACAATTTCAAAGGGCATTTTTATATCTTAATTTTATGCTCATGCAAATTGAGCAAAAGTGGGATGTCATTCAAGGCAGAAACCTCCGTCAGTGTTACAGCCATTTCCGCACTTGCATTTGGGATACTATGCTTTATTTAGAACATTTTCCAGCGTGTGCGTACAGGAAATAGTCATAAATAGTCATAAATCATAAAAATTTCCTCAATCTCCTCCAAAACTACCAGTCATTTTTTCTAGGCTCTCCTCATCCCAAGGCACTTTTGCCTACAATTCTGCTCTTCCAATTCTCAACTCAACCATCTCCCGGGAATGCGCGTACAGGAAACCAAGCTTCTCAAAAGCCCAGCCAGAGTATAGAGTCTTCCCTCTTGTCCAAACACATTGGTGAATTAAGAGGGGGCTGATGCCAGAGCAGAACCGAATTTAACGGGGTAAAAACGAACAAAGGGTATGCAGTGCAAACGCTCCATAGATAAGAACTCTTGAGTCCTCGTTGTCGGCCAGTTCCCAAAAGGGCGAGTGATTGGACTTTGTACCATATATTATGATTCCACCTGTTTTCTCTGTATAGGCGTGGGTTTCAAGACCACTTATTCCAAGAAGTGTTTTCCTGTACATTTAAGAATGTAAAGCATATTTGTTTTATTTTGGGATTGTACCCAGTCGTCCAATAGGAAAAGTATACTTTTAGCCTCAAAGGCATACACGGGGGGGGGCGCCATAGGCTTCAGCCCCCCCCCCAGTCTTGTTTCCCGACTTGCTGGAAAACGAAGATGCAATACAACAACAACTTATACTATTAGCTCCGACAGATTCATACGTCCCAGTCTCCTGTGGCGCAACTGGGGGTGGGGCTTGAGCATTGTGAGCTAGCCCTATAGGGTGTAATTTTGGTCTGAGCCCCCCCCCCCGACAAATCCATTGCTTGGCTTTGGCTTGGAAATTTTATTATCAGCTAGTTTTAAAATGGAATAATCCATTAATTTTCGACCACCTTGTTTCTTTTCGTTTCTTTGAATAGAATATTTTTTGATATTGTTTTCGAGGTAATTTCAAGTACTTTTACCCACTCCGAACAATGAAGTCACCCTTTTAAACGGGCGCTCTCCACATCTGTACCACACCCACGAAAAAGCAATAAAAAGAATTAGTTCCGTCGATTCCGTCTGGCTTGGTTCATACCGCCGCCGGCCTCAATCTCCTACCCCAGTTCGTCGGCGTCCCGCAGGAAGAAAAAATTGTTCCCTGATGATCGCGATGATTTCCCTCATGACAAAGACGCCCGACTCCCCGCTCGCTGTGCTGTGATCTCTTCATCTGCCGTGGGCCTCACAACGAGACGGTTAGCTCCAACGGCCCAATTATTTCGATTTCTCGCTGCGTTGGAAAATTTGACGAGTATGTTCTCGTGGAAATTGTATTACCGTATGTGCGGTAGTCTTTAATCGGAGGACTCATTGGGGGCGCTGTGTAGTGTTTTTATCTGTACCCCACCGGGAGTGGAGATGTGCCTTTTTCAAGATGACTGGCGTAAATAAGCCTTTTGTGAGTGACCTTTGAATAAAATCTGGTATCCTGAGTTCTTTAAATTCACGGGAAAATAATAATTAGAATTCTTCATACTAAAAACACTGTTGCTATACCTCGTGATTCGGGGCAAGCGTTTACTTAGTAAGAGACGCCTTGCACCAATACACCGTTCTCAATGGAAAAGAAGGGCAAAAAGGAACCAGTCCATTCCAGAGATGGTGGTTGCTATGCAAAAGCTTGCCCCGAATCACGAGGTATAACAACAGCGTCTTTAGTCTGAGGAATTAAACTTGTTACGTTTGTGTGCGATCAAATAACTACGTGTACCAGATTTCATTTCATTGCAAATGGCTTACTCTTTCACGCTCACTGGATGGAATGCGTTTGAATATAAGGCTGTCATTAGGCAACCCCCAGTACTTTGCAACAACGACACTTCCTTCACAAAATTTTGTTGAACGGATTAGTTCCTCCAAGGTGTTGCTGGCCAGCGAATATGTGTTTGTGTCATGGACATCTTTGATTTTCACTCTGGAAGTTTGGGAGAAGTACTAACTTGAAAACTACCGTTGAGGCGAACTCGTGTGTGTTCTGAGGAAGGAAAATGCCCTCATCCCATCTCCTAATCTACAGCTCAATCAGACTCAAATATAATTTGATGGTTTCACATTACAGGTTGTGCCTTTTGGTCAGAGAAAATTCCCGCTATACCCTCCTTAATGACCCAGATTTAATATTTCAATGGAGCTTCTTGTGTTGAGTTTCTGGGTCAAGTGATTGTAGCTTGAAGCAAAGAGATACCCCCAAAAGTGCCAGGTCTCGCGCCAGCGGTCGGATTAAAAGTCGTGACAAAATGTGCGATAGATGGAAAGAAATGCGAGCAATATTTTTGAAAATTTGTCTTTGAAAAATTTTTTTTTTTCAATCGGTGAAAAGAATTCTTCATGCCAAATATCAACTACGTAACTCAAAGTTCTACAGTAAAATGACTAAGTTACCTCGGTAACTTGTCGTTTTCTATTGGGCACCATGCTTTTATTTCGCAGGTTTTGTTGACATCTTTGTAGGGCCAGGGCGTTGGTACGCAACTGCCAGTCCTCATACCTGCAATGAGGACATAAGGATAGGTTACCAGCCACGGGTCGATAAACTGAACATTGATCGAAAGACATAAAATCTATCTTCGGTTACCGAACATTTATACACGACGGTCAACATTCGTGACCGACGCTCTTTCTGTAACACAATTCTACACGAAATCAATAAATTTGGAATTATACACTGAGCATTTTCTCCAAACATAAAGGTTAAGGTTAGTAACAAAGTTTAGGTACGGTTTTTCTTGAGAAGGTAGGCCTATTAACTTATCTCAAAGTTAATTGGGGAACTTGTAGTTTAGGTTAAATATTTGACCCACTATGTGCAAGGTATGACTCAATTTCCCCATAACTGTTTAAATGTGAGGAATTTACACAAAATGTCGTCATGAAGAGTTTTTAGAAGGGCAGAGTTGAATACCGCTATCAGAATTTTTGCTATGGATCTATCCAGCCGGGCCGGACGGGCCAATTTTGCCTCAATCTGCCTCAATTCAAAATCAGTGCCTTCATCCTGACCTAAATCATTCACATAATGTCAGGTAAAACAGCAATTACGGGCGGGTGAAGTTAATTTCATCAACCTTGGTTCTTTCGAATAAAATAAAAGGGAAAATATTTTTAGACAGCCTGTGGTAGCGCCCTCGTTTCAAGCATACCCTCAACAAAACCCTGTTTGCAATTTCAATTTGATCAAGGTCGTGGTAAACTAAAAGGTAACTCAGCGGTCACTTTAGACAGAAACATGAATTAGAATACCAGGTAGCCTAAAATTAGAGGAGAGTGAATTGGGAAGTGATACAAGTATACCAACCGTTTCCAGTCTTAATGTATTCTCCCGCCGGGCAGTCTGCATCCGTTTTACACCTGCCGTACCAGACGTCGGGAGCCTACAAAGAGAAAATGGTTTTGTACATAGTGAGAGACCTCAAATTGGGTACAATTAGCTGGAAAATCAGGAGGCCACAAGAGCCTAGAATAACGGCCACCGCCCATTCCATTGATTTTTCTTCATCTGTTCCTATAATTGCATTGAATAAGATGATTCAGAAAAAACATGTTTACAGTTATTCCGTTTTGCTTCAGACCAGTAAGTGAATGAGCATTCACGAAGAAGTTTATCTCGCGGTCTACTAAAGGGAGTCCAAAATAACCTACAAAATTAGACTGCTGAAGGTTTGGCATTCTATGGACTTTGCAACGTCACATCTGGTGTCCTGGCGCGAACACATTGACTGATAATCTACATTCCTCTGCCGAGCTTTTCACCTGTCCGAGACAGATAATACATCCTGATTGGTCAATTCTGTGGCAGCACGCGCGATAATGCACCCTTAATAGTGTACGGTATTTTCATTGGGCAACAGATAATGCAAGGTGATTAGTTAAGTAGTTTTGCTAACAAGCCGCGTGACGTTGCATTAAGTAAATCTGTCATTGGCACGGCTTACGCCTCATGGTTTCCCCCATGCTGTCGGAAAGTACTGCTGTACAAACGGCAGTTGAGTTTACTTCGATTGTTTCTCTAACCTTGAGAACCTTGTTTTCTATGCTGTTTGAATTTGTTTCCAGGGACCCCTGTCTCGAACGAATCCATTTTTATTTGAAGTCATGAGTGAATATGTCTATGAATGTGATTCCTGAGGTCTAAGTACAATACAAAAGACCAAAACATTTTCTGCATTAAAAGTCCTACGGTGTCCATCAGTTTCCACATAGCAGTCTTTCCTGAGACGCCCTTTGTCTCCTGCGTGCTTCGCTCCTTTCAATTCTTTTCGAATTTAGTGGGTATTCTATGATATCATTTCAAATTAATAGAATGTGATGGTGTGTTTTATACGGGTCAAGCGAATGAAACATTTTATCTACACACGCGCTTGAAATTAAAAAAGAAAAAAAGGAGGTAGGTCTTCCGATTTTAGCGAAAGAATTTGTAGGGACAATTATTCAGCGTGGGGTGTGCATTTCCTACGGCCGAAATCAGCCTGTCACCCGCGGTTAAGGAGTTCATTTTAAATAGCAGTGAAATCGTGGCTGGTCTCAATAACACACTATCCGTCCAAGCTAGCATAATGGTTGCTGGTAATTGATGGCGTATCCGGTGTGGGATGCCAGCAATTTGCAAAGTCAGGGCTTTTCAAATTGGTACTTGTACAATTTTTTTCGAAGAATAAAACAGTCCACTGTGAATTGGCTGGCTGAAAAGAGCGCTACCGTGTCTGGAAATTTTTACTTTGGAAGTTGCGACTTGTAATTTTTTTCTGGGACAGACGGTTGTCCGATAATTGAAATCAAAATATTTCAGGTACATTTTGGATAACGAAAAGAGGTTACATGTTTGAATAGGCCGACACAGTTTGAAAGTGTGACTGTATGACATTTGTTTGTTTGCAAGTGGCACTTGGATGACGGGTAATGTAAAGTAATTGACGAGTACAACAATATTTAGGACTATGATTAGCTTCTTTAAAGGTCCTCCACGTGTTGTTCATTTGTTTGTGATTACAGACCAATGCATCGTTTTTGTCTTTTATGGTTCAGTCATTTTGAAGTGAAGAATGTTGCCGTTTTAAGAATTTCACATGAAAAGTATTTATACGTTTTCGATGCCTGACAATTTACACTTCGTGAACTTTGCAAGAATGAAAAACTACCAAAGGCTTCCTGTCTGCGAATGTTGTCTTTGTCTATTTTTGTTCCAAAATGAGATTTTTCTCCATATTTTTAGGGCTTTTTACACCCATTCCCAACGTCGCTCACAACATAAGACCTCCAGGCTAAACGTGATTTGCGATTAAACCAAATCATTTCCCCCTTTTTTATGGTTTCACATCATTGTATGGAATCGCATTTCCCCAACGGTGCCCAAGTTATAGGTTTATTAATTTGCAGTTCGTGGTTCGACACACCAAGCTATTGCCCCAGGGAGGACCAACGACGATCTGCAGCCAGACTCTTCACAATATAGCGTGCACTCTAAAAACTCCCGGGTCAGATTGACCCAGAATTGGGCCCCATTCGGCATGACCCTTTCCAGGTCAAATTATGACTCAGAAAGGGTCAAATGTGACCCACAAGGGGTTCATTTTTTCACTTGGAAAAGGGTCATGCCGAATGGGACCCAACTCTGGGTCATTCTGACCCGGGAGATTTCAGAGCGTGGTGAAGAAATGGGGAAAATACATAAAAACTGACCTGGGCTTGTTGGAAAGTCATACGCAATAGTTGACACAGAAGATAGTAAAAAAATTCGCGTGACCTGCCTTGTGAAGACGCAAGCGAGTCCTGAGGCTCGTGAAGAAGATCTTACTGCCGCCATAAGCTAACCGACAGGCAAGGGTTAACCGATGGGCAAGGGATTGGTCTTAGATATGCCGATGGGATGGATATCAGTTAGAATTTGCTCAAGAGCTATTATACTTCTAATCTAACCAAAAGGCTTGATACTTTTTTACGTTTTTGACATGTGTGAAGTAAAGTATTCAAAGCTCATCTGTATTCTTCCAGAAATAAATTATGCACGCAGTGACAATGCAGAATTCTCAAAACCTTCAGTTCATCTATCATGCCACTTCACGGATATCATACAAACACTGAATGTTCATGGGTGTCATGGGGAGATACCTTTCGTTAGGTGACAGAATAGGTGAATAAAACATTCAGTATTAATGAAATTAGTCGTACGACTGCACATATAAAACTTCATTATTTTTAAAATAACGCAATCGTAAAGGTGAATTGTTCCCTCTTCTGTCTTTGTAAGTGCAGGGTATTGGAGCTGTAAAGGCCATGTAATGATGTTAGAGGTTGATATCTTTATTGCAAGTAGTTGTCAAAAATCCTCAGTGGAATGACATGTGGTTTGACAAGCTCTCTGACAAGTTGGGGAAATGGAATTTACCACGCAGAACCTGACCAAGATGATGACAGGAGTCTTGTCAGGTGTAAAGAAAGTAAGAGGAAAATTTTTTAGTGGGGGTGGAAAGGAGATCGATTTTTCTGTAGGAAGGGGTCGGTAATGCAATTTCAAAAATGACTATTATCAATATCAAAGATGAATAGAAACCTTTCTTCTGTTTCCAAATAAAGCTACGCATTCACGCTTAAGAGACAGTGTTAAGGGACATAGACACTTACATTTGGCTATTATGTGACTGAATTTACGTTCGTGAAATACAGAGTTCCGTAAACATGAACAGCATGAGTATAAGAAAAGTTGCCTTGTCGACAAAGTAACCTCTGCTGTGAACGATAAATGTAATAAAACTTTCTGTATTTTTTTATCATTTTTTTAGGTACTTATCTTAAACATTACTCTTTTTATCCTGAAGTGATTCAGGATATAAGGTGCACGTCTTTACCGCAACACTTGAAAATGTCAGAAATTAATAATTATAATAATGATAAACTGTAGGTCATGGATGGCACAAACACTGATCGGGAAAAACCTTACATTTACAAAACAGTTGAATTCATATAAACAGTTTGACACTGAGCAACCTGGTTTTTGGTACTTTCTTTTTATCCGTAGAGCCCGAAGAGTAGCAAAGGGACTCTGAATATAGAAAGACAAAAAATGAACCAATTGTATGACATCAAAAAATATGAATCACACTAGTCTTCTCCTTACCTCTGGACAAATCCCACGGGTTTGTTTTGGCGTTATCACCATGTTTGTCATGACGAAAAAAGCGTTCGTTTGCTGCTGAAAAAAGGAAGAGACAAATGAACCGGAGATAAGACATGTTAAATGCATGCACGCGTGTGGAAGGGAGGCCATTACCAAAAACAATAACAGCGTGCACGCAGCAGACCACACAATTTAAATTAGAGCAAGAATAGTAACTTGGTATCGATAAAATGGACGCATCAAGGCCAAATAGGAAACCGTTTGGCCAAAATTAAAGCATCGTAGATGAAAGGATGCTGCACCGACTTTCCTCACCTCTTCTGCTGCCACGATCATTGCTCTTATTTTTGCAAGTAGTAATTTAATTTCAGAACATGGCATGTCAAACTAATCAGGCAGTTTAAATGGGCCATGCAATGGAATTTTTCCCGCATATTTTTGATCGAATTAGCCTTATTTTAGATTTCTTGTTTTGCTATTTTAAATGTTATTTTGGTGCCTTTGTTGCTTTTATGTTTATCAGTATTCCCATATATTCATCAGCAAAACTGTGATGTCATTTTTGTGCACACAAAAAAAACTGCTGAAATTTTTAATACTTCGCTGCAGTGGATTTCTTCTCTTTGGTGATTTTTATTATGTATCTGCACGGCAATAAGCCAAAGAGCAACCTTTTAAAAGGAGAATTTTCGATTGGCAAATATAGATTCGTAATTTGAACAGACAGTCTACGAACTGAAGAGCGTGTTCTGTGAATGATATCAGAGCAAGAACACCTCGGTTGTGCGGAAAGGTGGTGGAAAATTGTTTAAAAAGTGCCCTTTTCATTACGTAACCTCAAAATGTTTAGGTCTCCATACACTGAAAATGAAATGTGCAAAAACTTGAGTTCGTCTGAGAAATGCTCCTCGTTTGGACCCCTTTAAGCAACGTTGCAAGACAAATGTTTACACTAGCAATGAGTTGTGCCTAGTATTGAATTTCCTTCTAGGTCAATAAAACCCACCTGACAAAGTGCCGCAAACGTTATGAATGATGTGCCAGTCCACCTGTCCAAAATGTCTTTACATGTCTATTACGACAAACACCATGCACACATGCAGGTTTTCCGGTATGCATTCCGGTGTGCATTCCTTTGCAACAAAATAAGCCTCGCTTTTCAATGTCGAGGAGACCGTGCAAATTGTGTGTTTTACAAACGAGCAGAAAAACTGTCTTCTGAAGTCCTTGAAACTGTCCATAGACACGACAGCCGGAGATGACTTACTTAGGGGGTAAAAGTTCGCTCACTAGAGCTGGCTGTTGATTTCATATCATTTGATTAAATCAGTGAGGTTCGAAATGTCCATTTTAGACACTCTTGATAAAGGTGGGTGGAGACATCAGGGGCCATGCCCTCAAGGGTCAATTTGTTAATATAATAAGAGAAGTAAGTTTTTCTTTACAATTTGCTTTTATCCTAAATCGTATACAAAGCCCCAATCGTTTTCATATCCTGCCATTACGGTACCAGGCGTCGGTAGGACCTATTACTGACGCCTTCTTCAGTCAAACACTCTAAACAGACGCGGTTTCCCCTTTTGCCGTAAAGCAGAAATCTGTTGATACAGATGGTCGGGCCCGGTAGTGGTCAAACAGAGGAGTGTTTTATTTCTGGTGAAACATCGATGTTTCGATAGCAGTGACCCGAGTCCCGCACTTCAAGACGAATTTATCATGGTGGACTCGCTTCCGTTTTCCGTGTCACGAAATGAAGCACCATGTAAGAAACATTACCTTCGCGTTTTGAATTGTCATCAAACACGGGAAGTGTTTAGGCGGGTCAACTTGCATCAAACCTAGAAGTGCAGCTGCCAAAGGCAGATCGGGCTGTGTAGTATGTCTTTGCATTGTCATTTCGTCATGTATTGATAAAGAGCTCATCATTTCACAAGATCTGATGTTGAGCTGATGGTGTTTTCTCTGTCGCTTGATTGAGATGGTTCGGTTTGGCCATGTAGTCGAGACACAGAGGAATCGTAAGTCTCCGGTATAGTGAAAGGATATCAATCCGTTTGATGGTGCCCACGATATCTCTTGTGCACCCCAATACCGCAACCGGTGTGGTGCAATTAATACTTTTTTGCATATTCAACGATGTTTACTACTGTACACAGCTTCTACCAACTTCGAGCGATTGCCCGTTTACACTAAAACCCCTTAACCCCAGCGCACAGCCTGAACTTTTATCCCTTATTGTTATTTTTCTTAATACCAACGAGGCCAAATGCCTTTTGCTGTCTGAGATACCTCATTTATAAAAAGGCAACGTTATTTGGGAGCAATTTTATCGCAAGACTCCTGACACCGAAATCTTATCTAATAAGCATGTCACGGCCATAGAGTGTCTTATTTCGAGCTGGCTGCTGGCGCACACCGCGGTAACTGGATATGGTGCGAGAGCGCTGCTGGGTTGTGTAGTTCTACGCCGCGGATGAATATTAATTTCCTGTGGTGTTTGATTCGAGGGTCCACTTGAAATGCAAACAGGGCGGCTGAAAGCGGGAAAAAGGGACACCCCAACAATATGCTTGTTTGACTAAGGGAATGAAGAGTTTATTTACAGTTCCCGAAGTGCACTTTTGAAGTGCCAAAAAGAATAAGGAAAGGCAGGCCGCTTTTAACAGAACAAGTCGAGCCGACCGCTTCGGATTAGCCTATCACATTTTTGTTAGCGGTTTGAATATGAGGGGAGCTTAATCCCCTCATCAATTTCGTGTTTTTTAATCAAGGAAAACCTCACTCTATACGAATGTGTGTGACTGAAAGAGGTCAGGAGCGTAGAATTGATTCTATACGTTCTAACAACCCAAATCATAGCCGGTGTCAAGGGCATGAGACACCGATGCCGACGATTTAACATTATTTGAGACAAACATTTGTGAAGAGTTCGTATTGTGTCACGTGATTCAGGCATCTCCTTACGCGAGAGACACTGAACAACGACATCAAAGCCCCTTTCCATATCAGCAGATTACTGACTTTGATAAACATTATCACCGTTTTCACGAAGGTACAGGCATGTGGACTTTGAAGAAAACGTTTTTGAGATGAGGAAAGCTTCACACGATTCTTTGACGAAGAAACTTTTACATGAAATCAGTATTTAAAATGAAAGGAGTGGTTAATAAGCCAAACTTATTCAGCAATAATTCCCATCCTTTTGTATCATTTACGGCCTCTTGTTTAATGTGTTTTTCCACTTAGGAAAGGGGCGTGCACAGGCGCGGCTGAGAATGTAACAAAAGTAACCGTCCCTCCGTGAAGACAAAAACCTCACTTGACCCACTTTTATGCCATTCCAGCCTGGTACCATTTATTCTTGTTCAACGGGCAGGAATGGTGTGTGTGTTCGTAAGAAAGGGGAAATGGAGTTATCGAGGTGCCTGCCCTTGGCGTTATTAATGCAATTTAGAACTTAATGATGTTTTGCTTAGGGAAGCATGTCAAATGCTGAAGTACAATGTTGTGGGCAAAATAGTGAAAACAAAATTGAAATCGAAAAAAAAGGTCATATTAGGTCATATATCGATTAAATCGACATATCCGTTCGTTCCTTCGTGACACGATGAAGACTTGCCCCCAAAACAGTGCATTTGGTCTGAGGAATTCAGAATTAGATACCACATTTCGAAAAGTAGGGCTAACGGCTTTAAGGTATCTTCACTGATTTTGCACAAGGCAGAAACCGCATTCAAGACCACGTCGTAATTTTCCCCGGTTCCATTCCTGCTGGAGTTCTGAGCACTCAACCGAATTGTGAAAGCGTATTGTTGGATAATAGTAGAGGACAAATGATTCAGTCCATAGCAAAATAAGCACAGAGGAATGCACACATCCCCGTGGATTTCAGAGACAACAAATAAATAAAGTTGAGGATTTTTTGAAAACTTACACTGTGTCATTTGTTGGTACAACATTTTGGAACGTGATGTAATCATTTCTTTTTTCTTCTGTTTTAATAAAACATTATAATAACATCCGCATAGAATTAAAAAATAATACCATGGTGATATTGTAGCATCTTTGTATTTTTGTCTTGAATAGTTTATTATAAATTCAACAGTTTCTAATAAGCCACTTGCGAGTTAAATTTGAATAAAATCTGGTACACTGTGTTATCCGATTGCACAGAAACGTAACAATTTGAATTCCCCAGACTAAAGACACCGTTGCTTTACCTCGTGATTCGGGGCAAGCTTTTGCATAGCGACCACCATCTCTGGAATGGACTGGTTCCTTTGTGCTGTTCTTATCCATTGAGAACAGTGTATTGTTGCATGGCGTCTCTTATGTAACTAAGCAAAAGCTTGCCCCAAATCATAAAGTATAGCAACAGTGGTTTTAGTATGGAGAATTCAAGTTGTTATGTTCACGTGTAATCAGATAACTCAGTGTATCAGATTTAATTCAAATTTAACTCGCAACTGGCTTATTAGAATAACTTGTCGTTTGCTGCATAGCGTAACTCGTAAATGGTAGACTACAGAAATGGATACAGTTGCAAAAGGTATCTACAAAATACGTTTCATAAGTTGAGCATGAACCTTCGAGTCCCGTCAGCTAACGATTTTTATTCAACCGAACTATTGATTTCAATACCTGAGCAGGTTTCCATTCCAAAGCATCAAAAATGTATAAAAAGGTAATATCACACCCGATAGCCGGATTTTGTTTAAACTCGGCTCTGGTTTACAGCCAAATCCTTTGATTTGAAACCCGCAAAACGGTAAGCCTTTTTATTTGACGAGTGCATTCTTCCTCGAAGTCCAAGGTCTGAGTGCGGTATGAATTTCAGCAATTTCCCGCCCGAATGACTCACGCAGACGACTTTATCACGGAGCAGTCCTTCCCTTAATTAATTAATGGTTCTTGGGACCAAAGCGCTTATCAGCTGCGCTCATTGTCGGTCTACTCTTAGTGTAGCTAAGCTGGATACACTTATGACAGTACTTTTTGGTGGGAATGATTTTCATCCCAAGTACTTATTTTAATTCAATATGAGGGATCACACGTCATTTCAAATGATGTTAAGCAAGTGCACGGCAGGGGAAACCGGTCTTTTGAAATGATTCAAGTTAACTAGGTCAGTCGAATGAACAGTTTGGTGTTTTGCAGGCCCAAAACAACAAATTACCTTATGTATGGTTCTCGACTTTCAGTTCATTTGAATTTTCCTTCCCTACAAAGGTCTTTGAACTTTAGGATTGCTAGAGGTCGATGTTAAAAACGAAACCTTCTACATGTAACTGGATATTTCTTTGTATCGTTTCCATTGTTTAAATATAAGCACTGAACATGTTGAGAGATTTTGTTCAAGAGGTGAGAAATTAGGGAATACATCTTTACTCCCTGCGCAACTGGGGATAGATTTAGAGGGGGTATCTAGTATGTGTCTTGCTGTCAATGTTTAACTGCGTGCCTTCCGATTTTCCCACTTCTCATAAAGGTACATGTACTAGCGCCCTCCACTAATCCTGGTTCGTCCTTCACGAATCACCATTAGCTGTTTGATCTTTTAATTCGCAAACAACTAGTCACTAGTTAAACACGACATGCATCCAAAATTAACACTCTCTAGCCATTCACCTGAACTCCATGCAATATTTGATTTTCGCCCGTGGTATAAACAGCAATGTCAAACATGCAACAAAATCACTCATACAGTATACTTACTACAATCATTGGCGCATGGCACTGGTCAATATCAATGGTTCAGATTAGACAAAGTGAATGGACATTTTTCTTGCAGTCTGTGCAAATGTAATTACCACACCTAAATTTACCAGTTATTACCACACTGCATGCAAATGTGCTTGAACATGTTCAGGGCACTAGTGAATATAAATCATACACCAAATTACACCCGTTATAAATAGCAATGTCATGAAGATGACGACTTTTGCATGTTGTTATTCGATGCAAACTGGCTTTCGGACTGTACTGTTAGTGGTTGAAAAAAATCACATCCATTCAAACGTGAAATAGTTAAAGAGGGACTTACTTGAAGGACCGACGGGTAAATTGTGTGGGTTGAAGGCAGAAATCAAAAGGGTGTAAAAAGGTATGAAAAATAACGAGGGATTGAGAGGAGTGTCACCTGTGTAAAACACACGATATCTTCTTCATGAGAAACATAATAAGGTAGTTTAAGTGCTTAAGTAATCAAAAATAGAAGGTGAAAGTGCTCAATGGGATATTCTATCAAGATCAGAAAAGGTGAATTGGCGCCACATCTCCTTCCACGGTGAATCTGGCCACTCCTCCGGACAAAACACACGCTGTAAAAGCTGCAGTTTTGCAGTTTAACTCCAATTTAGTCCTTTTCTGAGTCCCAAGTTGGTACGGTAGTAAGCAAGACCACATAATATCATCACTGTACCGGTATATTTGCTAACTAATTTGAATGAATAGAGTTATGTCCTCAGACAAAGCGCTGAAGCAGTAAAGAATGAATACATATCTTCCACATCGAGCCCCTTGTAAATACTTGGACAGTTTCAGCTTAGGTCAAGTTGGAGTGCCAATAAGTGCCAATAAGCCTTTATTCAATTTGAATAAAATCTGGTACACTGAGTTCTTTAAACTCGTTCTTGCGGTTACTCCTGTTAACACAGTAGGATGCGTGCGCATTACAGCCGGGTATGGGAGCATACTCCCCTGTTATTGTGAGCGTTTACTCTCGTTGACCATCGTCTCGTACTCCAGCCTTTCGAGTGTTCAGGAGTAATTTTGTGTTAATCATTCGCTCGAACGCACCCACTAGGTATAGCAAGAGTGTCTTTAGTCTGGGGGATTCAAATTGCTATGTTTATGTGTAATCAGACAACTCAGTGTACCAGATTTTATTCAAATTTAACTTGCAAAGGCTTATTGAGGTTTACCATAGTTCGGCCAGCGTCACTCGAACGATCGACGGTTGGACTAGCCTAATCGATCTTTTGAACTATATCCCCCACGGTTCGGTTGCAATGTCACTGGCTATCAGTATCCTATGTCGTAATTATGGCAAGCTGTTGTGGGAAAAATAACAGTTCTACCATGATGGTGGAGAGAAATGTAGTTAACGGAGCATGTAAGTGAATAAAATAGGTTCTGCTTGAAAGAAAAAGATTCAACTCGAGTAGTTCAGTTAGGATTGTTATGCTTGTGCGCAGAGCAACGAAATAAGTGGTCTGTATCCGTACATTTTGCGCTTTAATGTGCTGATAC